AAAACTAAGGCTGCTGCTGGAAGAGGTGTTAGTGGGGCCAGCAGGGAGTGCTCACCCCTCATCCTAACTCTCTGTGGTCATTAAAAATCCCAGGGTGTTTCTCTAAAAGAGTAGGGGTGTAACCCTGGTTTCCTGGCTAAATTTCCCATTGGCCCTTACCAATCATGGCCTCCTAATAATCCCCATCTATGAACCGGCTTCATCACTCTCCTCCCTACTGAGAGCTGGTGTTTGGTGAGTGTTCTGGCGCACTATGGCTGCTGTTGCATCATCCAGGTGGGGCTGCACACTGGTGGTGGTGGAGGAGAGTCCCCATTACCTGTAAAGCGCTTTGAGTGGAGTGTCCAGGAAAAAGCGCTATATAAGTGTAAGCAATTACTATTATTAAGTGCAGTTTTCAAGCAGCAAAGTTAATGTTTGACGTGAACCCTGCACAGCTGACCTCTTAAATGGCTGTTTTCATGACCTTACACAATCTATGCTTCTGAATGCTGTTCTACATTGCTCAGAGGTGCGTGGCTGTCTAACACCTAGAGCAGTGTTTCTGAACCAAGGCTCTATGGAAACTGTCTGTTTTCGACATCCTTCTACAGGAGATCTGTGGTAAAATTAGGCTTGTCTGCTGCAGGGCAGGTCCCAAACTCCACAGCAGCGGAGCCTTGTAAAGCTTAGCTTTCGAAAAGAACTGCCTTACTACCTCAACCTGACTCATGACCTATGGACCTGCATGCTCAAGAGCGCCAAAGACGAGATAAAAGCATACAGTAGCTTTATAATTTTTGAACGGAAAACAACCTCTCACACAGGTAAGAGTACGCACACACTGTAAAGCAGAAGAAAGTGGTAACCTTCAGAGATGACGGCTTCACCCTCCTGCTACAAGTAAAAAATCTGACACGAACAGATCACAGCAGCTGCGAAGGGTTGCATCGCTCTCCATTGAAAACGCTTTCTTCTTTACAGTCTTTAACAGACTCTATAATCAGGGTAAAGTATTCCCCTCGACCCCTGCACACGAGGCTCATCTCTTTTCTCTGCGTCCCATCTTTCAGGACCCGTCCCTCCTCAAAAGACAACCTGAAGGCTCACATACGAATCAAACGCACCCCCAAAAAAACGGATTTCAGCCCCCATAGCGTGTTGCGGGATTTAATAAACGAGTCGGTACTGCCCGTCAGAATCTGCGCGATGACCACAAACAGCCCGAATCCTAAGCCTGCGTTAGAGAGGAAAGCAGGCTCAGGTAAAGGACTGCGCGCTTCACGCCACTGCCCCGACTCGCCCCCTGCGCCCGTCCTGCAGGGCAGCCGCTGCTGGCTCACAAGGGAGACAGGCGGAAAAAAACGGGGCATGGGGAGGGTAGCGGGGGGGGATCGCCTTGGTCACCCTAGAGCTGTCCGCATCTCCCACCTCTATTTTGTCCACGTTCCTGGCGCACCCGACCACCTTCATGCCGTGCTGGACCAGAGCCCGGGCGACGGACGCCCCGATCCCGACCGAGGCGCCGGTCACCAGGGCCACCCTCCCTCTCCAGCGGTCCATGCCTGCCAGGACAGATGAGCCAGTCGGAACTTTTGCAAGAAATCGAGCACCAGCGGGCGATTTTTTTTTTCTTCTCCACAATCCAAAAACCTTACCAGCGTGTCTGTGTTTTATATATAGAGAGAGAGAGAGAAAGAGAGAGGGGCGGGCAACACTGCCGTTCAACCCTGCCTAATCTCGTCCTCTCCGGCTGCAGGAAAAGGCACCGCCAAGAAAACCCAATCCCAGAGCTCCGGATTAAATATTAAAAGGCAAGGAGGGGGGTGGGGTGGGGGGGGAGCACGAAACGCAAATACTGTGGTTCACATTGCCTCCCACTCGCATGCTCTTTCGCCTTTTCCGTGTGAAGGGCGCCCCCTGACGCCCAGGGGAAGAAACACAGGACACTCGTGAGAACTACCGTAGCAAGCAAACGGAAAGCTATTTTATCCCTGCTTGTTATCATCTTATCTAAATGGTAATGATAGAGTGGCGTCAAACATTGTTACGGGAAGGTATGTCGCCGCCCGTCATCCTGAGAAATCGCCTGGAGCTGAATTCGTGACCGCCTCAAAACACCTCGTATAACCATAAATCATGGGATATTTTGAGATATAATTACTTTACTGAACCCGGCTACCAGTCATTTTAAAAAAAACCCGAATACTCTCGAGTGCGTCTGACACGCTACGTTTAATTAAAACGTCCCGATGAACTGCTTAATTGGAACGGTCCTGTTTTATGAGAATCGAATTAAACAGGATAATAAATGCTTTTTAATTCCGATCTAATACATAGGAGCCGTTCAAATGTCTGCACTGCCGCTTGAAAAGCTCAAGCAAATTTCAGACATTAACGGTTTATTTATTCTAGATCAATTTAATAAAATGCATTTTATTTTGATAGCCAGACGTTTGTTCAAACCAGATTTTCAAATTTCATTGTACACAGCATATAAACATTTATCAATTGATATTAAAACCGAAGTTACATTGACGGAAGTGCTAATGTATATTTCTCAAGAGAACCTCCGAGTACTGAAACAATATCGCAGACTGGACCCGAAGCAAACATCAATTAAAAATGCTATTGTCTATAATGTAAGACGTGCACGATGCATAAATGCACACAAATCGTTAAAAAACCCTAATGGGAGAAAACATTACAAAATGAGGGTAAAGCATACAAATAAGTTTTCTCCAGAAAATTCCCCTCAGATTCCCCAGCCGAAACGCCAACGAACCCAGGAGTACTGCTTACTGCCATCTAGTGGCAAATCCGTTGAAATTATATTTGGCTTCAATATTACATAAGTACGTACGAGAATGTTTTTTGGAAGATACAGATTACCTATGAAAAAAAAAAGATATAGTATGTTAAACTTTCTCTTCACAGAACCTACGAAAGTTTAAGTTTCATTCGAAATTGGAAAAACTCAAGCAGATCCTATTTTTTTCAACCCACATATGTGCAAAAACTACTAATCCTGGATTGGGCTAGAGACTATCCAACTACACACTTTTAACTTTGAAAAAGTTAACAGGGTTAACTGGGAAAACTGAATACTACACCTGAAATGATCTTATCAACCACACACGCATAATGCACAGTTAAGCTCCTTAGGGATAGTTTACCCACAGACTGTTTGTCCCACTCAGGACAGTGTTCTCAATGAAACAGATCCACTGGAGATTTCTTTAAAAAAAACCTGCAGTCCCCAGTATGAGAAATAGGTAATGTCCAACAAGCCTAGAATTAGCACTGTAAATCCTAAAAGCATTGCTTGTCAGGTACAAAAGAAAATCTTACGAGCCATTTTTGAACACCTTAAAAGCTCTTTTTTTGAATTGCTGTCATTTTCAGTACTGTAAACATCTTGATTCTCCCTCTTCCCCAAAACAATTAAAGATATCTTGGATCTTTCACATTTACCAGAGTCAAAGAAAAGCACATACATAAAAAATGCATATTAATAAATATTCTTTATTTTTTAAATTTTGCACATTGCGCTTTTCACATCACATCCAAACCATTTTATAAACGGATGTATTCTCTGTAAAATCTCATATTCAGATAATTCTCTGTACACATTTATTCCATGAACGTTTTGCCACTAAAAATGAAGTGTCACAGTCAAAGAAACAAACGGAAAATGGCTTAAAAGAGAAGACAGGCTACCACATCTACCCAAACGTCATAGCTTGAAAGCTTGAGGATCATATTGAATGTGCTCTCCACCACCAGCCTAAAATTGATGTCTGAAAGAAACAGCACAGTGGGGCAGGAAGGGAAGAGGACAAGAAGGGGGGAAAAAAAAAGAAATCACATTTAAAATGAAAAAAAGATTAATTGAACAAGACACCAAATGTACTTTAGAAATTTGAAAAAAGGCGCAGTGGTCGTTATGAGTGTTTCAGTAAAGAGACGGGGCTGCTTTGCGGTTTCTATTACTAATTTACTCCCATTGTGGTCAACCATCCACCGCGACACACCGGCTGCTTCTGCTCATTTGAGCGGCAGTACTTGGTAAATTTATCTTTCAGGTGCTGTCGGTACTGATCTCTGTTGTTGTAGAAAGACTGATTGTTTTCCACAAAAGACTGGATCTCATCTTGCGTTAGACAGTTTTCTTCATCAGAAGTGCCTTCCGATTCATCCTATTTAAAAAAACAAACACATTTTATGTCTTGAGAGGAATCACCAACCTTTAATCCCTGACCAGGGTTTTCAAGACAATTGTTTATACATAATTATTGCATAAGTAGGATTACAGCCCAGTACTGCTTTGTAACTGGAATTTCATAGGTATTTTTAAGAAACAAATCAATTTTCTAGTGCTTCTGCTAACATCTTGCACCATCACCCCTGAGTTACAACTGACAAGAAATTAAGTTTTTTTTGTATTAACATTTTTGCACCAGTCCTACATTTTTTAAATACACAAAAAAAAAAATCCATGCAAAATGTATTTACAAATTACTACATGACAATTAGCATGAGTGTTTTCCATTTCTTTCACGTCCCTGTTGAAATATGTAACAGTGCAATGCTTCTAAATATGAAGGGCACTGTCCATATTCAAGGTCTGCATGCATTTTAAACTCCGTCTAAAGTCTAAAAAACTCAGTTTAAACCACAGCAAACATTTTGGTAAATCAGTACACGCAGCAGTATCTTTCTTTTACCAAAAAATTGTAATCACAAGAACAAGCCTTTGTATGTTAAATGAGTAATATTGTTCTTCTAATCTAATGCTTTAAACTAGGAAAGCCCGCATGAAGCTATTGGGAGTGGGGGTCAATACACTTGATGTGTACATGCCTAGAGAAGAACAGATACCTTTATAACACAGGAAAAGAAGTGATCACCAAATAACCCTTTTGTGGTGCTTTTTTAGAAAAACATTTCATAGCACCTGTGCTGAGGGCGTTTCATTGCAAAAACAACAGCTCTAGGCTAGCAGAGTACTATACTACAGCTGAGGACTACCACTTCCATTTAAGGAATTAAAACAGTATAAGGTGCTCTAAAACAACGACATTCATTTTCAGCTTGAAAAAAAATGACTGACTGCCTGTACTTACAAGGAGCTCGATTAAACTTTTAGTGCTGCTGTCCCAACGAGCACAGTAGGATGCTTCTAAGGGCGGCGCTGGAAAGTGGTTCATTGTTTTTCTATGTTCTGCCCAAGGCAACTGGAGAGCAACGCTCGCAAAGGACTCGCAGCAAGCTTTAGCACACATCTCTTTGGTTCTGCAGGAGTGTAGGTCAGGGTGTGCATTCCCTGCGTTCTCCCTTCTGTTTGCATCCACAAGACAGCTCCCTGGTTTATGACACTAAAAGACAAGAAAATATCTTGGTATGCTGCTAATGAAAAATAAGCATGTGTAGCTGCAAAACCTTTTACTATAGTCATCCAACATCACCTACGTGTTCGTTTCCACAGGATGACATTTTATTCTTCTTTTTCTTCTTTTTATTTTTGCCTTTCGTGTTCTCTTCCGAATTTGCCCAACACTCCACACAACTGTCAACTCCGTCCTCCTCCTTGTCCTCAACACAACGATGACCACATGAGTAATCCCCTTTAGGAGACAAGAAGCAGTTTAGATACGGAAAGCAAGTCAATCTTTCTCTCAGGATTGTAATAAAACCAAAACCAACCTGACTCATCATGGTTGCAAATGCCTTCAGTACAGGCCACATCAGAGCCTTCTCGAGACCCAGTCTCACTTCCTTCCATGCTGGAAGAGTAACCACAATCACTTCCATTGCAATGGGGTGATAAGCCTATGGACACAGTTAAGAAAACGAGTTTAGGTTAAATTCATTACATTTCTCTTGAGTCAGGAATAAAAATCCCCCCAAAACAGTATCAAGTGGCATTACACCATGCATAGGTTAACCCTGGTTTAGAAAATATCACTCAAGAAGTCTAATCTTTATAAATACAGAATAGATCAAGTAAAAAAAAAAGTCTTCTTAATCCAACTGACAACATTACAAAATTTAAGACCGTTCCTATACATCTGACTACTATCTTCATCTTAATGTAAATCAAGTTCTCACGTTATTTGTGCAACTGATGAGTCATTTGCACTACTCTTATTTAAATTATGTAATACAGAAGAAAATCAAGACCTTTCTTTGTTTTAGGCGAGTCCAGTATTGCATTACCAGGGCAGCTGCAAGAGGTGCTTTCATTTGTAACAATGACTTCAACACAACCATTTGACTCCTCTGTACTACCGCAAGCCTTACAGCCACCCTCCACAGGCTCAGAGGAACCCTAAAAGAGGCAAAAACACACAGATAGCAAATGACAGTGGAAGGAAAGCAACTCCTTTCTAAATCAAAATCATTTGATAAAATCTAAGCTGTGCTCTGACTAAAGAGCACGTACACTGTGGGGAAAACAAGCACCACCTTCACTGGACACTCGTCAACGTCAACTGTCACCTAACAAGCAGGCCTAAAAACTCTTGGGTTTTTGCTCAGCAGTAGTCAATTTATAATTTCCTGTCAGTTCCCATTTTAATACCTTAAAACAGTATAAAATTATACATAATGAAAAACTAATTAAAAAGCATCCACTCTAGTTTTCCACATTGCACACTGCGTATCAAGTTTACAAACTTCCATTTTGGTTAAAAATGCATAGAATGACAATGCAAACCTTTACTTTTTAACGTTGAGCACAGCAATGAAGATGGCGTTGCAGCTTAATTATGGAAACGTCAGTGTGAATGTTTTCCGCTCTGATTCAGAATGGCATGAACCTACCTCATCCGGGCTCTTCTCCTTGTCCTCCGCTTCTTGCCCAGACATGTCGAAACCACACTTGTTTTTGCGCCTGTTCTTGCGCTTCTGTCGTTTTTTCTCCTGCTTCAGCTCTCGTACTCGCTCCTCCTCGGACAGCTCCTCACAGAGCTGCTCCAGTCGACTGATTCCCTGCACTTTCTCAACTGCCATCTGCAGAGAGGAAATAATACCAACAGCGATACAAAATAATAAGCGTTATTGACATTGCAATACAAATGTTAAAATTACAGGCTGCCCATGCATTTAATAGGAAATACTGGCAGAGGATTAATATTGATAAAAGTGGCCATGTTTCTACTTAACACTACAAAATCCAAGATTATGCTCCCAAAAAGCCCGAGAATCAGACTTCCTAATATCATTGCTTACAATATCAAGACTTTTGGCATTGCAGGTATGCTATATACCAACCTCAAAACTTTTGCGCAATGCATCAACACCAAGATAAAACAGCATTTGCCATGTCTGTTCCTCAGCTCTTAATTTTTGCCAGATTCTGTGGAGACGCTCATACAAGTGGATGCCGAGACAGGTTAAAACTTCTTCTTGAGCAATATCAATGGTCTTAGCATGTCTTTCCCTGCGCCTGTAAGAAAGTTACAGATACTGAACAAAACCTACAGTGACGTACAGCACATTGATTCAAACATTTTAAATATTTCAAAGGATAATCAAGAGACTAAAATGCTATTTCTTGGATGTAAAAAACAGGAACTATTTGCAAGAAAGCCCACAGAAGCAGTATTAGTAAATGCATTCTATACAAAAGTGCCAATAAATCTGGGGTATTTCATCCTTAAAACATTAATGTGCAGCTCAAAGCATGCAAAAAACATAGATGTACCACTTTAATTTGGATATGCATTCATCTTAATTGCTAACCTTAACTGAATCAATCACATACCAAACATGTTTCTATAACAGAATAAGGCAATGGGAATTACAAACTTTTCTAACAGCTGTTAATGTCAGTTCAGTCACAAGAAAAACTACCTATATAAAGAACAAAATGTTAAAATTAAGATCTGCCAAGCAGCAAACCTTACTAATACTTCACCTATGCCTTAAGCAGTTCTACTATTCTATTTTTTAAGCAAGTCTTTGTTTTGAATGCCAATTTTCATCAACAGTGAAACAACTCTGGCTTATGTTATACACTGGGAACACTGATTTTCAGTTTATTCGGTTTTCATGCAACAGAGCCTTTAGTGTGTCAGGCAAGTCAGCACACATGCTTGGACATTTTGATCTTACCACACGGCCAATTAAAGATGACAACACACTAAGAAATATTTAATCAGTTATCAAAATAATCCTGGAACCAGATGATGTGGAACGTACATGAACTTTACCGTAATACTTCTTTTGAATCACTGCTCTGTAACACAAATCCAAGGATCATCACAGAGCAGATTTGCTAGTCTCATCATGCTAGTGCAATCAATAACTTTACAACCTTACAACAAACTTTAGATAATTGATTGAAGAAAGAATAACAAAACCAGCAGAGCAATACACAAATGTACTGAATACAGCTAATAAATATCAAAATGTTTAAAATCAACACTGATTTGGAGCAATGATCCCGTGACTGAAATGACATTAGTTGCAGAGAAACTAAAAATGTTCTTGGATCTGGGCATTTCTCATTTTCTACACAGCATTTGGTTAAAATATCAATCATATTTTGGTATCGGACAACAAAAATCTGAAAAGCCAACAAAAAGCGCTAGATAGCCCACTCTAGCAAATTACATACTCATACCCTCCAGCGAACTCGGGCTCAGCGCGTCCTAGAAGATGTGCAATGAAGTCCGTCTCGCAGCACACATGGATGTGTCGCTCATGTGGACAGCACCGCAAGCCCTCATATAGAGAGGCGCAGTAGCCCTTCTCTTTACTGTAGTCCAGTTCGCCAATGAGAATGTTATAGGCTCTCAGTACCTTGTTTTTGCAATCAGTACAAAACCTGCAAAACAAAGGAAACAAACACGGGATCAAACAAAATGAAAGCTCTTCTGTCCAAGCACCTTCATGAAGGCATAAGTGGACTCTGTTTCAAGTTTTGGGGAGTTTAACATTTCAAAACCTCATCAGAAGAGTCTTACCGATGCTTGCGTAAATACGTTTCTAAGGTTTCTAAAAGGCAGGCAGAGTCTATTAGAACTACTTCATCCCTGCATTCCTGGGACATTAGCTCCCACACATCCATCCAGCTGCCCCTGCAAAAGACATTATTTGTTAAACTCATTTTGTTTCACGACTTGAAGAAATCAAAAATTAGGTAGAGGAAGAATGATACAGTACACCTGCAAAAACATCTAGAATAATTTAGTTAGGTAGCTACAATAATAAGTGGTTTAATTGTTTTAATAAACTATGCACACGCACCCACTTTTCAAAATTGTTGAGTATTCTAGGTTTAAAATGCAGATTGTAGCTCCTCTTGGACATTATACAACACAAAAAAGCCACTATCTACTACTACCATTGCTTACTATCAATGAAGGCTTCGCTAACAGTAGGTTAGTGTGACTAACTTTCTGTGTTGCACCCCTTCCAGTAAGTTATTTCTCCTATATCTGGTGAAAACCTCCATGAAGATGGGACACCAAAATGCTTTTCATTTTTGTTTGCAGAACAGACATTTTGCTTCATGGAGATATTGAGATTTCGCATTTCACAAATGTTAATTCTTTGCATTGAATTTCAGTTTTGTTTCAAGGAGTAGCTGGCTTTGTTTTGGGGTTTCAATGATTTTACTTTAGACGTATGAACATGAGGTACAAATTACGAGATTAAAGACATTTGCTAAATTTATATAGTAAGCGAGAGACAACAGTGGGTGGAAGAACACCAAGACAAAGACTGCCTAGCTGCCTGTGTGTCACCCAAGCGACGCTATTCATACTGGCACGCAGCTAGATATGCACAATGTATATGGTCTCGAACTCTCAGTCGCGTTGCCGGTTGTTGACTGTGGCCAAGTATATTCAAGAAAGAAATTATTTAGGATGCATTAATGGTATGTACATCTGATGCATGTTAAATCAAAAATGTGAAAATCGGAGCACATACAGTAAATACTTTATCCCATGGTTATGATGTTAGTGCAGGAGAACAATAATAAAAATCGAAACCTGCCTTTACGTCTTACGCTATTTCTTAACATACTACACTGATTACCTGCTGGGTGCTTGAAATGGTCCAAAGTGAAAAAGGATGCTACATCTGATTTCTTTCTTGCCTCCTCCATGGTCTTTATCTATTACTACAACTTTCTCTGCAATTCCCTCTCTGTAGTTCACAAAGAAATTAAAAATCTGAAAGTCTTGATTTTAAAAATGCAAAATACTCAACCCTCAAATTCCAATGTTAATAAAGGCATTGGCTGAGAATTCAGTTCTAAAAGCATAATTTCTTTCAGACAAACACAGACTTTTTTTTTTAGATAAAACGAACAAACCTTCATCACATTACGTAACCTCTGTAAGGTATGTGCATTACAATGACCTTTTAAGCTGTGAGTAAAACAGAAGAGCACGAAACATGACTCACCCTAAGGGCTTGGGTTTGTGCGTATCTAAAGAGTGCAGTTGGCAGCGCTTGTTCTTCTTACTTTTAGGAATGGCATCAATCATGTCATTTAACTTTGACCTATAAAATAAAACAAAACATGCCTTTTCATATTTGAACACACACAGGTTAATCTCCATTTGCTAAAGAACAAACAGCTCATGTCCTGTTTGTTTTGAAAAGAAAATGGACCTATTATACCATGTACTAGCATAGGTGGCGGCCCTCTATTGTTCAGGCCAACAGAAATAGATCACAGTTCCTCTTCTTAGGCACACGTCATTTTAAAACCTGCAGTCTTATGTGACAAACAAAGCTTTCTTCAAAAAGCAATCACACAGACATGTAAGCATATGGGGTGGGGGAGCTCACCCGTGAACATAAAACAAAGTGTACAGTTTTTTTGCATCTGCCATGCAATTCCGGGTGACAGAGAGGACACCAGTGGACCCCACTGTCAGTGGCTCCAGGGCCGGATTCCCCGACTCCACGAGCTGGGAGAAGAGGCGCTCCACGCTGCGCCTGCAGCCCACGCATGGAACCAGCTGAGAAAGGGCATTGAAAACCTCCCGGGACGTGACCATCATGGCGATGTTCAGGTCTTGGTGCTTCAGCATGCTGTGATACTGCAACACATGGAATGAAACATCAGGAACAGAGCACGGCAACAGGTTAGATAAAGCTGCAATTAGTGGCTCACTCCCGTTAAAAGCAAACCTAAGAACATAGTGCATTTCCCCAAAGTCATTTCTTTATTAAGCCTTTTGAAGTGTCGATTTTGCCTACACTCCACATTTAGAGATTTTAAGTCTAGATTCAAAGATTGTCCCATGCACAAAATAGAGAGGCAGTCAACTGCTGCTCCCTTATCTCCAACAAAAAATGTATCCATAGCAATAGAATTATCACCTTGGAACATTACAGAAAAGGGTTTTGAATTTTAAAAGGCAAAAATCACTTAACTCAAATACTGTTGTGTATAAGCAAAATGCACATATACCAACTGGTCAAAACCTATGCCTCCTATATTCAATGATACAGCACTTTACACTACCATGTGTAAAGAGTTCAAATACTCTACTACTAACAAATATCATGACACAGCATCTGATTTGCAACAAAATCACAAATAGCAGCACAACAAGTGACAGTTTATACTTTCATTAGTTTCTACTAACAACTGAGATCCTTAAAGCACGGAAGTACTTGCTCAATACTCATTTCAAGCTATACCTACGACTTTCTTACCTGTATGAATTGTTTCATCTGTGAACTGTTAATCTGGTAACTTTCAAGATTCAACACATTATCAGAAAACTCCATCACCATCTGGAAAAAATGGACATGTTGTTATTCACAACAGAACTACATGATGTTAAGAGGTTAAGACGTTTGAATATATTTATTGTGTCTAACCATATATCTTTCTGAGAGGGTACATCTTCATTTGGTACTTTATTTTTGGATGACCCAATATTTTATCCTCCAATCCATACTACAAACAAAGGTAAGCACATTACAGATAATGCATTAATAAAATAACATCTTTATGATACCAAATCAAGAACTAAAAACGAATAACAGCACCATCACAAATTAATGATTTGGACAAAAGCTAAAGGGTCTGGAGAGCAAACTTATAACCAACGCGAACAACTACTTCTAATAAAAAATAAAAATAGCAACTGTTGTTTCTTAACCAAAACACACTTGTAAATGCATGTTATGAAAGCCAGGTTCTAAAATATGGTATTTAAGTATTGCAATATTTAAGAAACTGAAGTACACCCCACATAAAAAGCTAATAATAAAATTGCATCGCTTTCCTCCAAAACCATTACCAATTATATTTTTTAAAAAATCCTCCTGACATCTTATCAAGACATCTAAAACCAAGAACCATACAATGAGAAATCAATGACCTCACACCTTTCCCAGTACGCTTAAACGAAAGCCCAGCAAGAAACACCACAAGTGACAAAATGGTTATAGCAACTACTGCTGCTCTGCCCTCTTTTAAACACCTTTGGCACCGCAATCAGGAATGAACAAGGAGGCCGGAGGAAGGAGCTGATCGAGCAGAGAATGATCGGCGGCTCCAGGGCCGAAGAGGGCCCGAAACAGAGGGGTTCACTTGTCACAATCCAACTCCAGAAATACACGTTGTAGAAACATTAAACTTTATGAACAGGCTGCTAGATCTCCCATCGAATGCATATGGTGTTTCATTTCATTCCCCGCCCCGGTACGACTGAGTTTTAACGCACTTCGTAAGATGGCCTGTTGCCTAGCACAGAGGCCTAGCGCCGCCGCTTCCAGCCTCGGCGTGTTTATTTGTCCCGCAGTTTGCCAAAGTGAGCGGCCCGTCTCCGCGGGGGAAAGGGGGCGAAATACGTGACGGCACCGGGCCGGGCCGGGGTGGCGGAAACCCACCGTGAGCGTGTCATCGATGTACAGGGGGATCTGCCGGGCGAGGAAGTGGAAATCGTCCTCCCCGTCTCTGCACACTCCGACCAGGCGCGCCATGTCTTCGTCTGCTCCGGCCAGCACCGCTGCCTGCGCACAGAGGGGGACAGCCCGGGTTACTCCACTCGTCCTCTCCCACGGCCACACACACGCACACACAGCTCGCCGTCACCACCGGGGTTGGGAGAAAGGTGCAGGAGGGGGGGGGAGATCCCGTTTTATATAACCCAACGCTGCCGCACCTCGCAAAAACTTAACACGAAGCTTGGGCTAATCTCGGAAAACAAGATGTCAACTTCGGACAGCCAGACGTGCACAGCCCCACGCATCGCATGTTGCATCTATTGTGTCCCCCACCCGGCTGGATTATTAATAAATACCCCCCTAAAGGGAGTGCAACAGCAGTAACAAGTGTTTTACATTTTGACCCATTACAGGCAAAACCGCGTTTGCGACGCAGAACCCACCGCTTCAGGCTCAATATGGTACAGGCGCCGGCTAAATGATCGACCCTTCGTAGCCTCCCTTCGATGCAGAAAACAAACTCCCGAATTATGTAGACAGTTAAGTGCAAGGGCGATAAAAAAAAACCGCGTACACAACAACAGCGACAGCTGTAGCTTAATACTTCCAACCCCGAAATGTTGATGCAGCCGAACCACACCGTACGACACTGCCGTAAGTTAAAAAAAAAAAAATCCTTCACAGACCGACGGATCTCCCCCCCCCGAGTTGATCAAGAGGTTCGGCTTTCCGACGCCCGAGCACCACAGCCTTCTGGGGGTCTAACTTTTCCCAAACTTTCAGGGAGACTCGTGAAATTTGCTGCTGTTATTTTCACGAAACAGCCCCGCAGCTGCGCTCCACCTCCCTATCGCGAGACAGACCCCGCAAACTGACTCAAACTGGTTCGCCGGCGGACCGAGCGGCACTCTTTAACAACTCCGGGGGGGTCGAGGGGATGGGAAGAGAAAAAAAAAACCCGCACAAACTAAAACTGTCATCCCGTAGGGTTCGGAAATATCACCCCGCAAAACGTACGAGAAATATTCAAGTTCGCCGTGCGACACCCCAGCCTCTCTGCCGATTCGAAAAAAAACCGAAGCGTCAGAAAGGAGCCTGAGCGCGCCCTTCGTGTCACTCCGCCACAGAGCTCAGGTCTCATCAGAAATCACGTCGTGAAATTTCACACTTCCCTGAAAAATAATATTCTATAAATACTTTTTGTAAAAAATAAATAATCCATATTATATTTGCTTCACTCACAGCGGCTTAACGCTAAACAATATATTGTTCTATTTTTTTTTTTTGCGCCGAGAAATACAGTTAAGCGTACGTGGCGACAGGATCTCAAAACAACCTTTGACCCCCGAGAGACGTTGCAGAAAGTAGTTCCAGACAGGCGAGTGTGGCGTCATCACACGTGACAGGAGGGGCGGGGCGCGGGATATGAGCGGGGAAGTTAAATTTTTAAATATTGCTTTCCACTTTACACCACTGTGAGCACCAGAGAGGCTGTGGTTTAGTTTCTCTAAAATAGAATACGTCTCACATTTAATTGTTATATATGATGGGCTTTGCTTTGGTGACGGACTTACCTTTGCGTTTTAGGCATTTTATGCTCAAGAAGACCAATTACACTCGTGAATCTTTGCACTTATGTACATTTTTTGTGCTAAAAAAAATCATCAATGCAATCGTCACCGTGATTAAAGCCATTATATTTTAAAAAACTTTTAGAAGCCTTGAAGGAAATGTAATATCCCTTTCAACTAGCCCATTCTGAGACGTTCTTTCGTGAATTACTTCAGCTTTGAACTTTTGTCACTTGTTTGTACTTAAAAATATGCCTTGGAGTTGTAATTCAAGGAAGATGTCACTCATAGTTTCAGTCATTTACTGTTTGGGTTTTATTCTTAGGACTCTAACTTATTAAAAGATACAAGAAACATTCTAAGAAATAATTCAAATCTAAAGTGTCATGCTAAGGAATCACAAAAGCTGTTTACAAATTCATATATTCTTGTTGCTTAGACATCAGACTGTTCAAATGAAAATTAACTGAACATTTTAAAAACTGCCAACTTAAAAGGATTTTAATTCTTTAATCTACAATCTCCCTGCAATGAAAATAATTACACAACCTAAATTAGGCATATACACAGAATAAATCAATAATACATTCAGCAAAACATCTAAAGTTTTCTGTAAAAATGAACCCATTACATTGCATATGCAGGACAAAGTATAAACCTGTACAGCTTTCAGTTACAAAGCTAATGTTTCTTTGGGTTGACATGGGACGTCTTTAAACAAGTGAAGCAGACAATTATATTATACTGTATATAACTATATCTAAATAAATTCTTGATTTAAATTCTGAATTCAAGAATATAATAACATGGTTGTAATTTATCATTGTTATAATTAATTACATCAACTATGTAACACAGCCTGAGTGGAATAACATCTGAGGAACTAAGTATGAGTTTGTTCTAAATTACACAGATTCCCATATTTCATATCCATGCATTTGGCCTTAACATTTTGATCCACATTGTTTAAAACAAATATTGCACTCTCTCAGTTAAAAAAAATAAATAATACCTGCACCAGGCAATCAGGGTTTTTGAGATCATGCTAATTTCAAATAACGACTCATGCTAAAACGTCTGCGATTCAAAGAGTCAATATCATAAAACTCAAGACTTACGCAGAAATCCCTTTAAGCAGCACTTAATATCAATATTGTAGAAACAGGGCTACACAAACCCCTGTTCTTTAGATAGGAGTAATATTTCCAAGCACCTAAAACCAACTAGGTTATCTCATTAATGGAAATGGCTACCAGAACTTCACTGTAATTCTCTGGAGATGTAAAACATAGACAATAAAAGAGTTTGCAAACATATAGAAAACCAGGACAAATACTGAAAACACACTGCTGCTATGAATAGTATCAACCATCACATTTGTCAAACCTGTCATGATGTTTGACAACATGAAGAATAACAACTGGTTTCTGTTGACCGCTTGAATGAGACAAAGCCCCTCTATGTCCTCCCTGATTTTTCTGTCTACCGAGCTGGATTTGGAGTCACTGTTTTGTGTCTGAGGGGCTTGAGAAGGACTCCAAGAGGATGACACAGAACGGCAGTTGGACAGAAATTTGGCAAAAGCCAAAACAAGATCCGCAGCAGATAAACAGCAGAGAAAATAGAGGGACTGGGCCACTGTCCAGATGCCGAATGAAAGGTTTGCCATCCTGCGGGACACTGGTTCCACAAACATCTGGCAAACGAACAGGACAGCCCACAACGCAAAACTTCCCAGGAGGAGACGGGCTATTGCCTTGATCCAGTCCTTCACCACCATCCTGCTCTCCATCACATGAAGTCCCACCTGAACCCCAGCCATGTAGATGGCTACATATCCGATGACAGAGAACACGCCCTCTCTGTTCGCACTCACAAATCCACCTGTTCTGTCGCTGCCATTCAAGATGAAGGATTTGAGGTCCGTCAACTCAAGAGCCGCCTGGTAGGACCCACCAATGATTACAGCCAGAAGCCACGACCTGTTGACCGGGAAGACGGACAGAAGCAAGGAGGCCACCGCCCTCACGATGGCCAGAGTGAAAAAGAAATTCCAGTGCACCCCGTACTCTGAAACGTGCTCATGGTAGCCCGTGGCTTTGACGCTCAACAGCCGCGCCAGGCCCAGGGCGACCAGGGGCCAAACCGACAGCAGCTGCTTAGTCAAATGGGCGAACTTGGACGGTGGGGGCTGCTTCCTCCTTGCCTCGGGACAGACGAGAGAATTAGCCAGGATGAAGGCTCCCACACCAAAATCCATGACTCCCGTTCCGTAGGTTTCGCTTTTCGCGTAGCGCCTGGGAAATATCGCAAAGTCCACCGCGAGGATGCTGATGGCGGTCTTCACGTTGACGAGCACTCGGAACACTGTAACGAAGGGGACGCGGTCCGTCTCCAAGGAGCTCCCCAGAAAGTCCTTGAATGTCCTCCTGAAGGGCACAGCAGGACTGTGCTTCCTCCTGTGGTACACCCGGAACAGCATGCTGGCATCGAAGGCAGCCAGACTCACGATCACCACATGCAATGCGTCACTCAGCACCGTGCAGGACAGGATGAGAGGCAGCACCACCACGGTGAAGTCCAGAAGAAGATGGACCTTCCAGGGAAAGGGAAAAACGCCTTTGCCAAGAAAATACAAGATGAGCCCCAGCCCCCTGCTGAGCAAACACAGCGGCGCCAGGGCTGAACCCAGCGAGATCTCTCCCAGGGTTGTCCCATTCAGATTGCTGACAAAAGCCTCCTTAATTTCTTTCTGAGACATTTCTTTTCCCAGACAAAAAAAATTACTGAAACGAAATAAAGAATGCAAACATATAACAAGAAAGACGTTGAATAATTTACTCACGCGCACTCCCCGCAGTACCAACTCACAAAACCCGCACGTATTTTTTTTAAAACCACGTATTAACATGGCCACTTCATTTTTTGTGTCACTGTTTTAAGCAAGCTGAGATCCATAGCCACGGTTATTTTTTTGTAAGCGGAACAAGTGCATTTACTGTCAATTAAAACATTATATGAAGCAGCAGACAATGAAAACTGGATTCAGATAAGAGGTTCTACTTACTTATTGAACGCCTTTGTTTCGAGAGAAATAGTAAAATATCTTATGTAGAAATTAAAATATATATAAACATATATACTGTTTAGAGCTGTAAGAACGTCGTGACAATTTAAAAACAAACTACCAATAGGCAAATCTCCACAGGCTTTATCCTTTTCTGCGTATGTTGCGACGTTCATTTAGAAAGAAAAGAAACCTAGATACGGCACTTTACCTTTGACAAAACCTTAAAACAAAAATAAGTCAAGTATGCCGTGTACGAGCAATTAACGAAACAAACAAATCAAACGTGCATTCATTATGACCAACCTGCATGCGTGCCACCGCGTAGCACAGAATTTAACTTTTCTTCCGTATTGCGTTACCCAGTGTTTCTGTGTGGAAACGTCACAGAGATGTGTGTAGCTGGTGCGCTGCGTCACGGCGAGGGCGGCGCTTCAGTGACGTTTTACACCTGGATTGTCCACCGGGCTGAGTTTGAGTGCGGTCGGAGCGGCGGGGGGCGGTTTTGCCCTTCACAGCGGTTCCGCGACATGGAGGGAGTAAGGTGATACCTTGGACGGGAGAGAGAGGTAGTAGTTTGGGCGAAATAAGAAGGGGGTCGTGAGAAAACGAGCGTGTGGCGATTAAAGCGATGGCGAGCGCCAAGCCGAAGCAGCGGGGAAGCAGCAGGAGAGCTTTTCCCGACGGACCGGAGGAGGTCGGGGCTGGAGCCGGGAGCCGAGGGTGGGAATACCGACCAGCCCGGCGCCCAGGATCCCAGAAAAAGGTACAGATCGCTTTCTGATCAACCCGGTTTTAGTTCTGGGGACACGAGTCATTTAGGATTCTCCAAAAGAAAGAGGGATTCAAGCTTTTCTTTATGTAGTTTTCCCTAGAGGGTTTCTTATACCGATGGTTCGGACCATCGCTGAACATAACGCGTGGTCATTTTGAGAGAAACGTTATTAAACGCTTTAATAATAAAGGTGGAAAAAAGTTTTTCAAGTATATCTTCTCGGGGATGAGGGGAATACGTATTTAAGATTGAACTGGGGGGACGTTGAGCTGATGTGACATTTAAAAAAAAAAGTTTGGAACAACTCCTGGCTGAACACTGCATATAATATGGAAAATTCCGGGAGATCTATTTTTTTTTTCCACTTAAAGTTGTGCTGCGTTAAACTGGGGGTGGACAGAGATCGGTCCTGCCGCTGGTCGTGTAGCAAAAAAAAACAGTAACTTGTGCCCGAAGCACCGCTGTCGTTATTTATCTGGTGTTTAAGGTGCGCGGAGAAATGACTTCAGAATAATTGATGCAGAATCTAATATTCCTCTTTTCGGCTGCGAAATCGTGATCGCATGCAGATCATCCCGATCACATCCAGACATGTGTCGCTCGGTGCAGAAGTGCTATTCTCATAACATCAGTCAATATTCGGGTGTGTTTGAAAGTGCTTTAACAGTTTTTTTTTTCCAATAAGTCGCGACTAAATTCATCTGTGGCACACGAACACATTTCGTTTCTACTTCGTGGCTGAAGTTCTTTTTGCTCAAGCTTTTAATGACTAGATTTCTCAGCGTTTTTCCAAGAGTCTCAAAGCGTTGTGGCTGATGATGTAAGGAACCATATATTAGTCATCCGAATAGTATCTTAATGAAGTATCTGGTCTAAACATCTACTAAAAACTAAAAAAAACAAACAAACACCCAATTCTTAGACAAATCAAAGTTCTAAAATACTCCCATATCCTGTGTTTAGAAACAGAGGGTCAAAACTGATAGTCTTCCCATTCATTAGTGTTCACCTACTTTTGCTATTTATCCTGTTAAATAAATGACGCGGATTTCGGTTGTGATTTCGATAATGCAACGTCTGTATGTACTTTCAGATTAGCTTTTTTTCCAATGTAAATTTTAACAACTTGATTTTTGAAATAAAGGCACAATTGAACCACAGGCTCTGTATGATACCGCCTGTTTTGTCTTTACTTTTTTCTGACGTGCTGCAGGTGAATGGCTGACCGGCAGGGGAGGCAGTGTTGAAAAGTGCCGGCATAGTTTATTTGTGTCCTTTTCACATGCTGTGAACTCTGTAATCCAATTACCTAATAGCCCACAGGTAACTGGGTTTCCAGGACACAGTTGCTTGCAGGACTAGGGGATAAAATTCTAGGATGTAGGCTGAGCTAGAGGTGAGGGAAAAAAATATTTTTGTTTTTTTTTTAATGACAAATATTTTTATTTGGATTTGGAATGAGCTGCAATTCAAATCTTCTTGAAGTCGTTTAATACAGTTAGGCTACCTATGTGGAGTCAGTGTACCTGCTAAGTGCGTGTGTGTTTTTTAGACTAGGAGCTAATCCGCAGAAGGCACCTCTGCAGATTTCTGCTTCTAATTTCTGTAGGTTGTTTACAGGCACCTTGAGCCTTTGCCTTTCTAATCAGTTTCTTTCTTTAATCGACTCCCAGTCTGTCACAGAGACAAGCATATTCTTTCATTGAGTCCGAATGCAGCACATGTATTGTTATGTTATCGTGCCAAGTCTTGACAAAATCAGATTTCCGAGAGATGGAAATCTGGTGTGTACTTGTGGGGATTGAATGAGAGCTTGTGTCTGTCCCAGCTAATCAAAGTGGTGGTGGGGGGAGGGGGAGTTTTTCTTTTTCCTTTTTTTTTATTGGAGAGATATCTTGGCGTAGCTCTATTGTGGCCGCAGAGGTGCAGAGGGAGTTCAGCCTGGGGGCCGGTGAGGGAAGCTGCCCGGTGTGGAGCCGATTGAGAACAGCGGCGCACATGTCGCTGTGGAAGACAAGAACGAACTCGCTGCGGTTTTAATTCTCCCTGCTCCTCCGCAGTGCCGCACCCTGGAGGGGAATGCAGTTGGGACACAGGGAGATCCAGCCTGTTTTTTCCACTTTACAGTCACCGAGCAACACTGAGATGCTGTACATAGTTATTTTCTCCATTTAGATCTAATGATACACACCAGGGATTTTCCAGTGTCCGTATACATGCCCAATTGCTTGATTTAAAACTGAACTCATTCCTTTTTCTGCACTTGCTCTGCTTTTTATTCTGCGGGGTGTTTTGGAAGGTGATTTGCACTCCCAAGCGTTTGTCCACATCATTGCCTTTTCTCCAGAGTTTTGTGAGCTGAATCGATTCTTGAATTCAGCATTTCGGAGCAAAGCTTTTATTTGGTTGTAATAAAAGCCAGCTGCAGCCTTCCTCTTGATCAGATGGAATATGTGGACAGCATGTGTACATCAGTATATCAGTAGTATCAGTACAGTATATCCCCATTGTTCAAGTCTCATGAACATATGAACACATTTCTACTAGTATATACCTTTGAGGAAGTGTGTAAGAGTTGTTGTGATGAAGGAAAAAAAAAAGTCTAGCCTTGAGTGTGTAATACGCACCCAGTCTATTGCTTGGAGACTCCCTGCTGCAAAGCTGACACTCCTTCGTTCAGATGTGTGGATGGGACCAGTGGAGTAACGTACTCTGCCCCAGCTTGCAACAGCAGCGACCACAGCAGGGATGCTAACCTAAACCAGGTCCTTGCAGTCATGAGACCAGCGCGATAAACAATAGTTCAGGCTAGGAATTCGGAAGGTTTTGCATCGGATTGTCATTGTATTGGTTTGTTTTCCAAGTCATTGGCTTAAAATGTTTAGGTGCAACGTGTGTTTTTTTGACTGCATTAAAAAGCTCTTTTTAACCTTAACAGAGTAGCATTGTGCAGAAACACAGATTCCTTGAATACTTATAGTTTAGGACAGTCACTGACCCTCTAGAACCAAGGCTGGTAACTGTTTGTTTTTTTCCTTTTGATCCCTGTATTTCTGCTCCATAAAGACGATTCCATCCCCTCATCCCTCTCTCGATGACTCGCTGGAGGGTGATCTCCAAAACTTCCTGATCGACGAAAGTCAGCTGCACACCTACGATGACCTAACCAAAGTCAACCCTGTGACCACCACTACAGGTATCCTCCTTTGTGGGCACGTGAACACATTGATGGTATCATTGAATTGGTGAAGAATCTGAAAATTAGGGGCAGTGAGACTATCCAGATTGGTTTTGACTTTGTAGTGATGCTTAATTCAATTACACTCCTGTTATTGTTATCTGGATATATACATGCAAAACACAGTGAATTTAGCAACCTTTTATTTTAATGTGTTAAAACTCTTTGCATCACCAGGATGATATGTTATTCCATAATGTAGTGTCGCAGCTAAATCACCCTGCAACTCACAACTGACAACCCCCTGAAGCTCAGCAGTGTGAGCCTGGCCAGTACCTGGATAGGAGACCTCCTGGGAAAGCTAAGGTTGCTGCTGGAAGAGGTGTTAGTGGGGCCAGTAGGGGCGCTGTGTGGGTCCCAGTGCCCCAGTATAGTGATGGGGATGCTATACTGTAAGGCGCCATCTTTCAGATGAGATGTAAAACTGAGGTTCTGACTCTCTGCTCATTAAAAATCCCAGGGTATTTCTAAAAAAGGCAGGGGTGTAACCCTGGAGTCCTGGCCAAAGTTCCCTCTGGCCTTTACCACATAATGGCCTCCTTATAACCCCCATCTCTGAACTGGCTTCATCACTCTGCTCTCCTCCCCACTGAGAGCTGGTGTGTGGGGAGAATACTGGCGCACTATGGCTGCCGTCACATCATCCAGGTGGGGGACACACTGGTGGTGGAGGAGGGGATCCCCGTTACCTCTACCATTAAGGGTAAAGGGCTTTGAATGGAGCACTATATGAGTGTAAGGATTATTATTATAATTACCTGACAGCAGGTCTAATTCCTGGTCTTTTTTCCTGTAGTTTTGAAATGCCTGCAGGCCAGGTATTGCGCTAGGGTGTTCTACACACATGCAGGCTGTACCCTGGTGGCACTGAACCCCTTCCAGCCCATCCCTCAGCTCTACTCCCCGGATGTGATGAAGGAATATCACTCAGCAGCTCGGCCACAGGTGCGAAGCTCACAGTTTGTGTTCCTAACCTGTATTAAAGGGCATAGAAATAATAGTAATTGATCACCTACTAAGAGCTGTTTAGTCTGAAATAAGGGAGCAAATTCTTCATTAGCAAGTAGAGACTGCTTTTCATGTGCTAAAGCCTAGGGCAGAGTGCAGAAAAAAAAGTCTAAACTAGCAAGACATCAGTTACCGGTCCAATTAACACTGGAGATTAAGAGCCCAGTTGGAACAGGAACCTGCAGACACATAAGTACACCAGAACCACTGTTCTTGAAGTAGCTTTAATTTATAATTTAGATGGAAAGATTAAAAAAAATAACTAATAGCACACAATGCTTTGCTTGTGCATTTATGGATAGCTTCAAACATGTATTTCCACCAAGAAAAGGTTGACAGTTTCTGGTGTGGGCTCTTCACTGTCCCAGGAGTTCAAACCTCACATCTTCATCGTTGCTGAGCAGGCGTACAGGAACGTGCAAGGGCAGGTGGAGCCTGTGAACCAGTCCCTCGTAGTCAGTGGAGAGAGCGGCGCGGGGAAGGTAAGATAAGAGAAGGTGAGGCTTGTGATGGGCAGAGCAGTGGCTCTGTGGCTCAGGATCTGCACCTGTGGCTGGGAGGGTGCCGGTTCAAATCCTGTTGCTGGCAGAGGAATCCTACTCCATTGGGCCCCTGAGCAAGGCCCTTCACCCCAGCTGCTCCAGGGGTGGTGTATAAATGGCTGACGCTGCGCTCTGACCCCCAGCTTCTCTCCCCGTCTGTGTGTCTCATGGAGAGCAAGCTGGGGTATGCGAAAAGACACATTCCTAATGCAAGAAATTGTATAGGGCCAAAAGTGATCTTATCTTCATGCTGTCAGGGACAGCTCAGGAGCGATATCATTGCTGCAGGGGGCCAGTTCAAGAGCTGCGGTGCACTTCAAGACCTTGCGTTTTATTTGCAGACCTGGACCTCTCGCTGCCTCATGAAGTACTACGCCACTGTCGCTGCTTCCCGGTCTTCCCAGAAAGCTCAGGACACGGTGGAAAGAATAGAGAGGAGAGTGCTGGACTCCAACCCCATAATGGAGGCCTTTGGTGAGTCTGTGTTTTGCGGAATTACTCCCACTGCGCGTTTGGGGGGTTTGTCATCCTGGCCAGCTTGCTGCCCTTTCAGTCGGCCTTCAATTGTGGCACTTCAATTAAAAAACAAATTAAAAGCAATTGAAAGCGACCAGTGCCTTAATTGTGTTTTGATCCTGATAACTATTAATTAAATCAATTAAGGAGCTGGTTTCTGCAACAGAGTGGAGTTTCCCAAGCTGTTACATGGAACACAATGTGAACAAATGTTCTGTGAACAAAAATTTGAATGTTAATTTTCCTACTAGTATATTAAAAAAGAAATGGATGTGTGTATAAAAACCTTTAATGTATTTGGGAATAATAATGCCCTAGAAACATCAGATTCTTGTACCTTTCAAGCATTTTTAACCCTTTCTTCAGGGTTGTGTGTGTAATATTTCTCTGTGGTGACCACTGTTGTGTCAGGCAGTGTAGCTCGCAGTAGGCTGATGTGAGGCCTTCCTTCTCCGCAGGGAACGCGTGCACCTTGAGGAACCACAACAGCAGTCGGTTTGGGAAATACATTCAGCTCCAGCTCAACAGGTTGGTCGGACTGTCTGCAATGTCAGCTCCTCGTGCAGATTGTCTGTGTTCTTCACAAGGCTGTTACATCTAAGTATAAAGTGGCCAAACCTCACATCAAAGGGATGCGTGCCTTGTAAGAATATGGAAATATACACCAATCCACAGCTGTGACTGCATAGATGTTCATATACAGTATGCTCATCAGATCGCGCACAAACTATGAATAACAATCACTGCACATGCCTCACTGCAAACTTGAGTTTTGCAACATAAAGGACAGGATAAACCCAGGGCAAGTGTGGGTAACATAAAGATATAATGGGAAGCAGTGATTTGCTATTCAATTTTAAACAGACAGTGAGTATTTAATCATACTGTCTTCAGCTTTATTTATAACTGGAGTACTGAGCGGTTAATATATGCTGAATAGTGGTCTCCTTTCACAGGAGAAAGAATTGCAGAAGAATTTCATTTTTTAATGTACTGAAGCCCCCATTGCGGTGGTCCATGTTTTCTCCCGATATTTGACCTCCAGGTCGCAGCAGTTAGTGGGGGCATCTGTACAGACATACCTGCTGGAAAAGACCAGAGTGGCCTGCCAAGCTCCGGGCGAGCGCAATTTCCACATATTTTACCAGGTGACTGTACACGCTTGTTCCCTGTCATGTGTGCTTGGAAGTGTAGTGAGGAGTCCGGCCTTGAGGCTCTTGCACGAGGATCAGGCTGTTTTAGTGTTATTGATTTCGCACCGTCCTCGCTGTCTGTAGATGATGAAGGGGGCCACACAGGAGGAGAGGCAGGAATGGAAGATGCCTGCTGCTGGGCAGTTCCTCTGGCTGCCAAACGCCGACAGAACCCTCGAAGGTAATCGGTTCACTTGTGCTTAGGCTTTCCCCTTAAGGCAACAAGCAAACTTCACCCCATCTTTGGGAAGGCTTAGGCCACCCTGCTTGTCTTAATGGCTACACTCACCTTGTTCTTTCATTGCAGAAGACTGCTTTGAGGAAACCAGAGCTGCCATGTTGCACTTGGGCGTTCACAAAGAGGTTCAGGGACAGATATTCCAGGTAATTAACGGGCATTATGGGCCTGTAATGCAGAGAAAATTAATATTAATGTTAAATATCCAGTATGAAGTTTAAGCATGCTTTTAATCACCTTTCTTTGTGTATATTATGGAGAACAAGTTCTGAGGGTTTTTTCCCCATTGCATCATTCTGATCAGAGTATTTGCTGAGTATTACAAGCTGAGGAAAAATCATGTAAATGCCCCGCTGATAGATTAAGGCAGCCATTTCCATGTGGAAAGTACTGCTCATCTTGAAATATTCAATTATTTTTATAAGAAGGGAGCAAGTCATTTGGCCTGGGTGAAATCTTCTTTTATAGATCGTGCCTTGTTTCAGTCTCAACCCCAAAATGATCGGTTTCATAAACTTTGATTTTAATTCCTTTGCACCAGGTTTTAGCTGCCCTGCTGCAGCTGGGGAATGTGCAGTTCAGTTGTCCGCCCGATGAGTCTCAGCCATGCGAACTTCAAGAACAATCCAAAGGTTTGCTTTTTTGCTACCCCTTGTGTTAGTGTAGCCCACATTGCACAGATGAAGTCAAGATTCACAGTGTTTGTCAAGGTGTGTCCTTTCTAATGTCCTGCACGGTCTGGCTAGCCATGGATTTCTTAGTGAGCATTGTTTTTCAGTTTGCTCCCCAGCTGCACTTCTCACCTTTACCTCTTCTTTTCCATCTCCTTCTCTCTCTAGATTTCCTTCAGAACGCTGCCTGCCTGCTGAGGGTGCCAGCAGAGGAGCTGCTGAGCTGTCTGAGAGTAAGAACCATCCGAGCTGGGAGACAGCAGCACACTGTGATGAAGCCCTGCTCGCAGACGGAGTGCAGCATGAGAAGAGATTGCTTGGCCAAAGTCATCTATGCCCAGTGAGTGTCACCAGGAGCCCCCGCTATCAAGCCCCACTCTACTGGAGAACAGGGTGGGAGACTGATCTCTCCAAGGGGAAGTGAAGAGCAAAATCCCAAAACCTGCATGCTTTTATACACTTTGTTTCACTAAGCAGCTTTACAACATCTCATCCTGCTCGTATTAAAACGCTCTGCTGTACCTCTTGATTGCATTGTGTGTGAATAACAGAGGAGCAGTTTTCATTGAGGTCAGAAACAAACGCTGTTGAAACAGTTCCTCTGTCTTCTGATCTTAAACTGTATCATACGCATAGTTATTTATAGGAAAGCACTGTTACAGAATTGAAGCTTGGACTAGAGTTAAGTCATGGAAAAAGACGTTCAGGAACAATCATGATAGTGCCCTGATGATAGGTCAAGAGAACATCAACAATATGTTTATTACTAGCTGGAAGGAGTAATGTGAACAAATTATATGTTTGGTCAGATTGCAGGACACTTGGCTTCATCGGGATGATAAACCGTAATTTAAAAGGTTTTTTTCTCTCTTTTTCTCTCTACAGCATTTTTGACTGGATAGTCGCATTCATAAACCAAAGCATTTGTGCAGATTCATCCAGCTGGTGTAATTTCATAGGTACAGACTTGGATTTTTATCAAAATGATTCTTAAACAGTGATTTTATGGACATTTACAGCAGCTTTAGAAATACTTATTTTCCAAAAAGGTGACTCATTTTAATGATTAGATTTGGGGGCAGTATCATATAATAATACACGTGAGACGGAACCTCTAACAAGCAGTGACAGAATGTAAAATGAACCTCAACGTGTGGAGATAACAAAAGCTAAACAAATGGCCGTGCTATCGAAAAGCATCAGTGTGATTAAGACCCTTGCAAGATGTAGCAATAACAACAGGCAAAGCTAATCAGAGCCTGCATTCATGCATGGATCAGGCTGTTACTGATGGCTTTGTCTTGTGTGGTAGAGTGTTCTGTAATTGCCTTCAGTGCTTCTTTGAACGGTATGTGCAAAAGTACATGGATCACTTATCCGTGACTGTGACTGTCCTCTCTGTGGTGGTGGCAGGTCTGCTGGACGTCTATGGCTTTGAGTGTTTCCACCAAAATAACCTGGAGCAGCTGTGCATCAACTATGCCAACGAGAAGCTGCAGCAGCACTTTGTGGCCCATTATCTGAAAGCCCAGCAGGTACTCCAGTGCTCTCCTATGGGAAAGAATCCATTGGTTTCTGATTCATTTATTTACGTTTAATCCTAGATTTGAATGCATGCACACCTGTGTTGAAGCATTAATGAGCGTTTCAGTGCCGGCTCCTTCCCTCCCCACTGTGTGTGCGATGCAGGAGGAGTACGCGGCCGAGGGGCTGGAGTGGTCCTTCATCAGCTATCAGGACAACCAGAGCGGTCTGGACCTCATCGAGGGGCCCCCCCCCAGTGTCTTCTCCCTGCTGAACGAGGCAAGACGCCGGCCGATTCCCGTCTCCCGTTAGTCTGGGGTCGGCTCGAAGGGTGACGAGCAGGGACCTGTCCGAGCAAACCGAGCGACATCAGGAGTAAACTATGCCAAATCCTTTAATAAAACAATGCGGAAGACCACAGCCTTCAGGCAACTCAAATAATAAAACAAAAATGAAAAAAAGATTTGTAGGAGCTGGCTGTTTTTGATTTTGGTTTACAATTAGATGATGAAAAATGAGCAGTAGATCGGTAGGCCACTCCCGATTTTGATCCAAAAGAACCTTTGAATTTTACTCGGAATTCAAAATTTTGGGTATCCAAAGCAATTATTTTGACAGTGATTAATTAGGTCCTTAAGAGTTGATGTGAAACGACCCGAATGAAATGGAGTGTGATCCCTGAATGTCAGTCAGTGCATTTTATATTCTCGCAGGTCATTGACTTTTAGCCTGCTGTAGGCAGTGGTTTAGTGGACTTGTCTTTCTGGATGAATCGCAGGAGTGTCGCCTCAACCGGCCCTCTGATGCCAAGCAGTTCGAGACCCGGCTGGAGAAGGCTCTGTCCGGCAAGGCCTGTGTGAGCTGGGACAAGCTCAGCGACACGCCCCACTTCACCGTGTCCCACTACGCAGGGCAGGTCAGCTACCAGATCGAGGGCATGGTGGAGAAAAACAAGGCAAGTACTGCATGCTCTGAAGGACGGGACTCTGTATTCGTTTTTTAACACCAGACATTTCCAGTGATGCAGTTCAGTTACTGGGTAAAACAAACTTGTGTGACAGACTAGCATAGTTTCAGTGTGGTTTGCAGTGTTATTTTTTTAGCTTTTAAACAACCCAGTTTGCCAATTTTCTTGTCTTGACCATTTACAATTGGTTTGGTCATGTCTTTGTTGCATCGCTCAACCATAATTCCCTCGAAGACGGGCGTGAAAAGCTCAGCTGGCCACTGTAAACGCCCCCTGTCAGTGATGGATCCCTGGGCCCTGTGAGGAAGAGAGCTGGCCGCCCTGGGTCTTTACCCGGGCCTCTCCAGAGTCACTCTGGCACCTCTCTGCAATGCTTTCGGAATCGAGCCGGGTTTGCTCTGATTGGTTCAGAAGAAGAGTGGAGTCAGCTGTAATGAAGATGGGGGCCGAGCAGATCAGTGTAGTGTTGGCTTGCACGCGCATCACTGAGTCTTGGCATGTCTGTTGCAGGACCTCGTGCCCCCTGAGCTTGTCCTTGTGCTCCGGAGGTCCCAGGACGCGCTCCTCCACAGTCTGTTCTCTGAGAATAATCAGGAGCAGAGTGACAGCAAGGGGCACAGCAAAGTCATCACTGTCGTCTCCAAGTTCAAGGTGCACGAGTGCTTCGCCGTTTCAGGATGTTCACCACTGTTGCTTCTTGTGAAGATGTTTTATATCGGCTTTTTACACCAGAAGAAAATTCCATGACTCTTAAGAAAAACAGTCTACAAGTCATATTATATAGAACTAACATTATTCCTTGTTTTACGGATACATTTGGGTTTGTTTTGGGGGTTTTCTCTGTCTATGTTTGAGTTAGTCGAAAGCACGTTTCGCAGAGCTCTGCATCAGTTAGTCTCATGTTTTAAGGAGGGGAAACTTGAATACATTTTTGGGTAAATTAATTTTCTGTACAGACATTGATGCGTCGGTATGGCCTGTAGTCTATGAATGTGCTGTGTGTCTGCAGGGCTCGCTGGAGAGCCTGATGCGTGTCTTACACAGCACCACTCCTCACTACACCCGCTGTATCAAGCCCAACACCGACTGCAGGCCACTCACCTTCAAGAAGGAGGAGGTACGTCTGGGCGTTTAGACATACCTGAGCAGCAGTGTGCAAGAGACAGTTCCCCTGGCGAGAGTTTTCATTCACGAGGGAGGATTTCAGTGTTTCTATTCTATTTTGGAAACTGACCAGACTCTTGACTCTGCAGTAAATGAATGAGATGGTTAATTTGTGCATAGTCTTTCCAGAGGGAAAATCAGGGGTCTGTTTTTCATAGATTTAAGCGCTGTCCTGGGTAACTTGTGTATATTGCAAAAATACAATACATGTACTGTAAAGTGCAAGAATACAATATTGCATTTTAAACACTTGACACTTGTCTTACAAAGTGCATATATTCATGCTCCCCGTTCAATAAACTAAACTGTATGTCACGTGCCCCAACAGACAACATCAGGGTCGTAGAGGTCTACCTGACAGAGTACAGATCACAACTATGGGTGCTGTCAGTGACTTTACTCAGTCAGTGAAATTTACTTGAAGGCATTTAATGCTGCATTGCAGGGGGTATTGTGTATTAATGGTAGAGATGACATCAGAGCAAATATGCTGTGAGTCCCCAGCAGCACATTAAAGACTGTATTGTCTGATTCCAGGTCATTACCCAGCTGGAGGCCTGCGGTATTGTGGAGACCATCAATATCAGTGCTGCAGGGTTTCCAGTCAGGCATGTAGTCGGAATTCTGATTTACTTTGACTTGAATAACTGATGAACCCTATTCCTTTATTCGAAGTACTCTTGGGTAGGCATGGAGATGATTGCATCACAACAAAGCATCATCAAGAGCTACTAAAATCTCTTAGAACTCCAGACTTAAATCTTTGTGTTTACAATGCTTTATTGATTTTGTTTGTCATACACCTGCCTCTTTTATACTGATACAGGAGCCCCAGTGAAAGAGAAAGAAGACATTCCTTTTCCATCCTGCTGCAAATGTTGTTGATTTGAAATCCAATAGGTGGTGCTGTTACAACACAGTGATGTTCAGTCCTGGTCCTGCAGAGTTTGTGTCTCTGCAGGTTTTCTAGGTCTATTAAAAACTCCAGTACCTGAAGGTCCAATTAAGGTCCAATTAATTACTAGCTGATTTAGCTCATTAAGAGCTGTGTTACAAATTAGTCTGTAGACACACCAGCCCTCCAGAGCCAAGATCAGACAGCTCTGACTTTACAGCACTTTCATCTAAATCTCTACATTTTGTTGTTCTATTGGATCTTGTGCCAGAGATTGTTTTTGTTTTTTTGAAAAACAAACTCAACCAGCACTGACAAGCCCTCTGTTATGAAGTACTGATACTGATCCCAACTGGAGTACTGAAGTGTTGTCCTTCCATTTGCAGGATTCCTTACCCAAGCTTCGTGAAGCGTTATGGACTGATCACCCTCTCTAAAATCAGTTCTGTTTCAAATGGAAGTGGTATGTCTCCTTTTCAGGAATATCTTTAGTTTCGGTCTGGGGTTTATGGAGTTTAAACCAGAAATGATATGGAGATTTTCAAGCGCAGCTCATATTATTATTTCAAACAATACTGAATACTTTCAGATCGTGTGTCAAACACAGGATCTGGTATGGATCAGTGGAATTTGGGTATATCTATTGCTTGTTTGTCACATAATGGATGGATTAAATTATTAAACTGTTGCCCAGGAGTAATCTACTACAAAGGCCTCTGTAAGAAATGTTCCAGTATACAATTCCAAAATTCTTTATGGATTCATAGACACCCATGCATGGAACATCCAATGAAACATTTTTAAAAAATGAAATGGATTTAATGGCTAAACTGGAGTGTTGAAGAGAAATATATATGTAACTATTTCAACTTAAGCCATAAATCATTAGTGCTGGAGTATTCATCCTATATCCATTGATGTTATCCTTGATTTTGCATTTAGAAAAGCTCAGTTGGTAAAGTCTCGCCCTATAAAGACCTCTCCTTACCTCCTTACTGACTCTTCTGCTGTTTTCCCTCTCTCCTTCCTCTCGTCCCCTCACTGCAGTTTCATCCTTCTCCTAATCTGCTCTTCCTCCCGCCCTGTCTGCAGCTGTAGTGGAAAAGTGCTTTGCTAAGTGGGAGATGAGAAATAAAATACACATGCACTACACAGCTTTAAGGAAGCTAATTTAATCAGATATTGGAAGGTAATAGCATGGTTATGAATTCATTGCTTTCCTAGTCATTATGATCTTGAGTGAAAAAAAACACTGCATGAATAGTTGTCATTTCATTTTTCTATTATGGTCCCTTCTTTAACCATTTAAACTGTTCTGAATGTGAACCAGTTAATCAGTGTAATTAAGGGAACTTGCTTGAATTAGTTTTTTGCTAAGCTTTTGCAGTCCAATCTAATCCAGGTAGCTTAGTCCCATCCTGAAAGAGACTGAGGTTTGCGTTGATATGACTGCTCCTTGTATACTCAGTCATGCGTTCAGCACCATGGGCCACAGAATCCAGAACAGACATCAAAGGTACAGTGTGTGGAGACAGCCACAGCACTGTGGCGTAGTGCTCAGTGCTCAGGGCTCCTGGGCTCGGATCCCAGTTGGAGACAGTGCCTCTGTAATCTTGATTAGGTACTTTACCCAGATGCTAGAGTACTGAGTGTCAGAAACTGGTAGTCATAACTTTTGCAACTTGAATGGGGTGAAAACATCAGCCAAATACAAACATCATCATAATGGGAAGTTTGAAGAACCTTCTGTAATATTTTGCAGAAACAAGATAGTGGTCAGTGTGACCACAATGAATTGCATCTTTACATATTACCACAAGGCATCTTGAAATACCTGCTGGTTTTGTAGTAGTTAATGGCTGTCTGGAGTGATCAAGAAAGGGAGTCGATAATCCGTTTCTGCTGCCCAGGGTCAGAAGATGAGAGGGACACGCTGGGCTCTGCAGTCCGTCACGTCCTCCGGTTCGTCACGCCTGGGCAGCCTCTTGATCCCTTCGACCCCTCAGAGGGCAGGCTGCGCTCTACACAGGTGCACTGTGGGAAGACCAAAGTATTCCTCACTCATGCCATGGTAAGTGCATTTCATTCAGGTGATGAGAAGTTCATTTCTGATCAGTCCTCAGAACTACAAGGTTAGGCTCTCCAGATAAGAGAGTACCAAAGTCATCTTGGCAGAATAACACAGATGTCAGACAATTTTGTTGTCAGTAATGTTTGTTGATGAGACTTGTATATACCTATTCTGTATCTAACCACAGAGTCCTGTGAATAACCCTTACTACTATGCTCTTATGTTACTACTTCCTGTTTGTGTAGCAGCACTGAAAATGCTTAGCACTGTGCAAAATCCCTGCACGTACATAAAGCTGTGCTTACTGTTTTCTTTGGTTTTACTGTTCTTTTATGCAACTGTTGTATGCACTTTTTGCATCTTAACTAGATGCCATTATAAAAAAGTTTGGATAATACCAGTTTGCTAAATGAATTCCTATGCTAATGTTTGTGAAACAAGAATAGAGTCAGCTCACACACTATGTAATATATCTGGCCTTCCTGATACGCACACTAATTGATATATCTGGGCATGTGACACTTTTTTGGGAGATGGAGGGTAATGTAAAAGGTCATTTCCACCAGCTGTCTTGCACTGACTGGTCTGAGGGCCGGATTTCCCTTTGCCTCTTCTCGAACCTCAGCTGGAGCGCCTGGAGATCGAGCGAGGCCGAGCTCTTGCCTGCAGAGCTTACTCCATCCAGCGCTGCTGGCGGCGGTACTGCCACAGAAAACGGGAAAGACAGAGGCGGGCGGCAACACTGATCCAAGCAGGTAACCCCTGACTCCCATCACCTACTCGCAGGAAGCCATATTAAACTGGGCCTTGCACGGGTTTGTACCACTGTAATCGGCCTGTTCTGACCCTTAACAAAGTGTCATGAGTGTCGTTGGTCAGAAACATCTACAAAACTGTATAAGACAATTAGGAAGCTGGTTGCTTTTACTGTTAAGAAAAAGCACAAGACTAATAATAGAGAGGTAACAAGGTTCAGGGTTCATAGTTCAAATGCTTCTCCAGGCAGGATGGCACTTCTCCATCTGTTTTCTAACAGCTTTATGCAATACAGTATCACAGGGGAGCTGGAGAATATCCCGGCAAGTTAAATAAAAAATAAAATATTTCTTTAAATGCAGACCTAGGACGCATACATTTCTAAAAACCCAATTCCAACCTCAGTGTAACACTGCAATCCGCAGCAAGTTGAGAGGAGAGTTTATGATTAAAGGCCATACTCTAATTTAATTCTTTAACCTTGTGATCACCAGTTTAAAATCGTACTTTCTCATTTGCTTCTGTTATTGTTGTGCAGGGAAGAGCAGTAACAAGATATTTCTTTCGTCAGGTGTCCGATCCTGGTTAACAAGGAGAGAGATCTTGAAATGGCAGACTGCAGCAACAGTGATCCAAAGAGCTTGGAGAACTTGGAGAGTAAGAAAACACTTGGTGTTTAATCAGCTTCTGTGGTTGATTAAATATATCACAGCACAAATGGCCGATCTTTAACATTTATGGATAACTGTTTCTTGCCTGGGATAAAGTGAGTTAAAATACTAAATATTGTATTCTTTGTTTTGACAATGTTGTTAGTTAACATAAGACTTACTAGGGTGTTGCTCATGAGAAATAAGTTGAAACTTGTTAGAATTACACATCAGTACATCATGCTAAGCTGCTGATGTCTGCTTTTTAATTTGAAATCGATGCATCATATATAATGGTACTGTTTGCTAAATGCACACGTAATGAGTTAGAAGGCGTTACCCGCCATGAGTTTTGCTAGCTCTCGAGTCTCCGTGCCCGTCCTTGGAGTCATGTGAAGCTTGTTGTCCTGCAGGCTGTGATGGAGGCACTGGCGGACGCAGAGTTGGACGACGCAGTGGACATTGAGGAGGTGACCATATCCTTGCCAGGCTCCCCCATCCCGGTCACCAGACCTGCCCAGTTTCCCCAGGGACAGCCGGTGGTGGTCCAGAACTGGCCCATTGGACTGGCCCTGGCCTCGTTCGCTGCCACCAGCGTAGCTGTGACCTCCAGCGGGTTCCAGAAGCTGGTGTCTCTGATGGCCTGTCTACAGCTGTCCTTCAGGAGGATAGACTACAAAGTGGAGACCAACCAGTTCGACCAGGGGGTAGCATCCATCAGAGCCCATCCACGGGTAAGCCACTGTTTCCTGGAGATGAAGAATTAGTCGGTAGGTCTGTGAATGACCTCTTCCCTGAGTAACAAAGGCGTTTTTTTTTCTGAGTCAGTCCATTATTTTTCAATCAAAAAAATTTTTTTGAGTGCATGTGATGAAAATCATTTTTTTTATCATCGGAGGTAAAATGTACAATTTTGCCTACAGAGTTCCATACTACTAATACTAATACTACTCTTTTACAGTATTAAAGGACTGTGCAGTTAATACTGTACCTACAACCCTGCCCTTGCAGTGAGGTTTCTCTTTCAAAGTTTCCAAAATGAGCAACAGGCCTAATCATTTTGAGGTTATGTCTACTGAAGCTAATGGACCTTTGTAAATCGCAATATCTACGGTATAAACGCCCGATGGCAGTATCTTGTATGTGTTTTACAGCACGTAACCCTTTTCCTTTTTACCTACAGCAATCAGTCAAATTTCACCTCCAGCGATCTCCTCTGCTGTACGCCGACATTTGTCCAGAACAGAAGGCTGATGGAATCAGTGGATTTAACCAGATTTTACTGGAGAAAACTTAACTCATTTCTTCTTTTAGCCAAAAACCACAAGTGGCCTTTAACCGATCTTCAATTACTGCACTTTGAGTTTTGAGGCATCTTTATCTAGAAGGGAGAGCCTTTACCTTTGCTGCCTTTGAAATGTATAACACTATTTAAAAATCAGTATTTATTCTTCTGATCTCAGGCCAAGTTAAACCGTTGAGACACTAAGTGCCTTCACCTGTTGGGGGGGGCCTTTATAATTGTACTGGAAGATTTGTATTGATATTTTATGCCATTTAAGTTGCCTCTTTAGTTTGTTCAATTTAATATTCATGAAATCGAATAATATGGGAGAGGAGAGGTTCTACAGCACAGTTTATATGGCAATACTGTATGTGTATAATGCTTTTCAAACAAAATTATCTAATTACAGATAATACTTTCAGGTGCTGTTGTCCACGATTATGACTTATGGATGGGACAGTAGTTAACATAACATAACACATACACTGTTTGAATTTCAGAGCAGTACACTTGTTTTGTCTTCAGTTATCTACACTACATCATTTCCATTTGATTCAATTACCTGAACCCTATTATCCTTAATCGAGATACTGAACTGCCTTTTAGCAAAAGCTCCAACAGCTAATCAAACCTTGGAATAAAATGCGAATATAATGTAGGATTATTGAACTCACTCTGGCTCTGTTTTTTTACACATTTAGTTCCATATTTCCATCATGTTAATGGGTGATTAAGTCATCTAAGAGTACAGTGTTGAACAGTGCACATGCAAAAGTAACTCAGGTCAATACTGTAGGCTGGGAGTCCTGGTATGCCATGTGTACTTAACCATTAGGTGCTTCAAAATCTGGAGTCAGCTCAGTTTGCATAAAAACACTTTATCACAATTTAAACACCAGTGTGCCATTTTTAGCATTATTTTAGTATTTAAAAGTTTATTTCAATACAAAATGGGAAGATAACACTAGACACATATTTGGCATGATTGATTCACTCCATACTTTCCAAGCCCTTTGGGTTTAGCAGTGTGCTGAAGCTTCGAAAATACAGACCAGTGTTTCTTCAGCCTCAGGGAAAGGGATTTATAGACTTAATAATTTTGTTACCACATTGTCTTTTGTCATTCTACACTAATTGACAACACTATGGGCATGCTACATGTTCTTGTCAAATAGAATTTTGAATTAGTAGTATTATTCTCCATCGTTAATCATGTTCTTATGTGCAAATGAAACATTAGAAGAGTAACATGGCAATTGTACTGTAAGTGGTTATACAAATTACAGCATTCCTGCACCAAGCATGAAATTCAGTTTTGTCAATGTAAACGTTTAATCTTTGCTGTTGATACTTTAATATACAACGCTTATATAAACTACAAGTCTGTAATTACTTTGATAAATGTCTTGATTTTCAAGGGACATTGGAAATGGCAATAAATGTTTTTTTTCCAAAACTGTTTTCAATATGTAATGTTATTTACATAGAGAGTTATATTTGGCTACCTCAAAGACTTCCATATGCTACTTGTTCATTGTTAAGAAGTCTGAACTTTATTTTCGTGTTAGGAACCAATCCTTTTTTCAACAGACTTAATGGTGGCTAGGATTACTAAATAAACAGCACAACTGGAATAAAAAGGCCCTAAAATAATAATACTAAACAGTTACATACTTCAAACCTATGAACATCATGTAAAACATACCTCCCATTTCTAATTAAGAAGGTTACTGATTTCCAGCAAAAATAAAATATTTTTATATACAAAACCCAGGCACTTGCCACAAATGCTTTACAGTACATTGATCTGTGTAAAACACAACAGTCTTCAGGTAAGAATGAACAGGGACTCAGTCCTTGCAGGCTTTTTATCAGCTGCACATACTCCAGAACAAGCTTCCTTTTTTGTGAGCTATTCCACAGGGCTGATGTTCTCCTTTTCCGTCGGCTCTACAATTTTCAGGCACCGATCTGCAAATTCCACAAACAGAGGCTCCTGCATTACCCTTTTCATTGTGCCTTCTTTGCTCTCGGCTTGGTCTACAGTTAACAGCAGCTGCTGGAGGTGAGGGTTACGCAGCAGGGATCTGAGATCTTGAGATTCACCTTTTGTGAGCAAAAGTACAAAAAAAAGAGTCACTTGTTAGAAGGGGACAAAACAAGTATATTAGAACATCCTCAATGTGGAGGGGGAACAAATTGCAAAGGAAAAGTGGGGGGTTTTATATGAGGGGTTTACAGAGTCAGTTGTATTATATTCTGCACTTCTTCACTATTACAGGTACAAGAACACAGGAGTGCATTTATTCCATCCAGCCTCATATAAATATAAATGTTTAATTTGTTCTATTTACAATCAATTTTGTTTATTCCATTATTGTATGCAACTATAGGTCACCATGGATAAGAGCATCAGCTAAACCAATTAATATAAAATAGAAAGTTTGACACAATCTGATCTGACACATCAAGCATTTCAAGTTCCTTCATTATCCCCATAACTATGCCATTACAAGCTGCCATCGAGGCTTGAATCACCTTTACGGACATCGATACTGCATTCTCTCCTTACCCAACAGTTTCAGTTTCTGGAAGGAAACTCTGTCTGACTCGTCATCCTCATCCAAAAGGTCTTCAACAGACCAGCATCCCTCTGCAAACCAGCACAGATAGTTATCAAACACTTCCAACATGATACTGAAATCTGGGGGGGGGTCTGTAAAGTAATTTCAAGACACAATCGCATTGGAAAATATGTACCTACCCCCATCCGGTGTTCCATTAAGGCCACAGTGTGAAAGCGATACACCTGGATCTGTCCCCGTCACTTTCACAGGTACACAGCCATCTGTGTGAAAAAGATTTAATTCCTCAGTTCTGCAACAACAAAGACCGTTACAGCACAGGCATCTACTAATTCAGGTTACCCCCAGTTCCAAAATAATATAATTATTCAGGACGTCTAAATACACCCTGCTACAATACTGTCTTGGGTTGTCCAGTTGTTTAAAAACTGCTAACTCCAGCAACAGAACCAAATGTACTTACACGAAATCTGTATCAAGGTAAGGTTAAACTTTTTCCATGAAAGAGCAAAATGTATGTCTATTACATATAACACGGACATTGTTTCTGATTAAATACAAAGAAATCATAGTTCATATAACCCATCAGTTCATGCAGTTCCTGCTTAAACAACTAAAGATGGACTAGTTTGAAATAATCAGTACTGCATATAGCATCAGACAGTAATCCTAGACTTTTTAACACTTCATATTTCAATAGCACAATAAACAATACAAGCTAAAACTGATCGTATTGCAAACGAAGAAATCATTACCTTTATGTTTTTTGTAGCAGCCGAGTGAGCAGCTGAAAAATAGACATTTATTAACATAGACTTAAAGCTAGGATGTAAAATGTAAACATTTTAGTTTTACAAGTTAGAATTTACCTGCAATCAGTGTAAAATGTAACAGTATATATATATAGCTTTTACCATTATCAACGTTTCGGCAGCGAAAAATTAACGATGTATTTTAAGTCAAGTAACATAAAAATAACAAATCAGAAACTATAACTTCCAATTTTATACGTTAATTAAACGTTGCACTAAGAAAATGGTGATAGAAAATGTACCACGCGTTGGAATTACTTTAGTCACCGTGTCTGAACTAGCGGCTAAACCCGTTGGGTTTTCCTAAAGTCAATGGGGAGAACAGGCTCCCTCAGTCGGGCTAACGGAATCACTCCAGGCCGAGGCCTTCGGAGGCCTGCCGTGGCTGGTTGTTCAATTAACACGCCAAAGACACAATTACATGCAGATATTGTCTCAATACTCACTATCGGATTTTGCAAGCCGGGCACCGGTATTTAGGAGGCACTTCACTGCAGACTCTACAGACCTCCATGGATATTTTTTTTCCCTAAAGATGAATACCAGCAGTAACACACATGGACAGAGGCAAACACGTTCCCACTAAGAAAACGCTGTTAAGAGATCCGGCCCACTCAGCACGCAAGAGAAGGAGGTACTTAATGGTTTACTGTTATTGAACTCAACACACTTCTCTCAAGAGCGATGCAGTACGTGAGTTCAACCTTTTGCAGCTCCTCCCTTTGTAAATTTTAAAATTTGTTCGAGGGGTGCGTTCTGAGTTTAGGATTGTGTCGTGAAATGCGTTGCACCCTTTTACTACACGTCCTTTTGAAGCGCAGTTTCTACTGTATATGTTTGTTGTTGCAGTTGTAGAAAAGAGAAGCCATCTGAGGTGGTAATCATTTCTGTGCACTGAACATTTGCTTGTCGGATGATGCTTTCGGTGTCTTCCAGATAATGTTTTGCGTCATTTTGAGGGTCAAAATGTCTTGAAATGAAAATGTAACTGTTCTGTCTGGAAATATTTTCTGAAACTCCATGTGTAAATCACAAAAACCTCAATAAGCTTTTTCAGTGTAGTTTGTTTTTTCTTGTTTCCGTTTTATTAATTTCAGGTGTAACATGTTAGTATCAAGCCAGTTCGTGTCAATTACAGGGCACAGTGTATAATTGTATGTAAGTCTATAATTACAGGTGTAATTACAAAGTTCAGCACTTTTTCAAGAATCAATACATACATAATTGGGTTACAAAGAAAATGAAACAATGAAATTACACACAATGAAAGATATGGACTCAGGCAGTATATGAAAGATACAATATCTGATACTCTCAGTTCTGCAGAAGAAGTTCTGAAGAAGGTTTCCTGATTTATTTTTTATCTTGATTTAATGAGACGTTTGAAATGTCGATATGTCTCTAATGCAATTATCGAATAAGCAAAAATAGTCTTATTATCATAATTAAACCAAAATCCTAAAAACTAAATTTCCTGATAGGGGTTTTACTTATGTAAGCACAACGATCAGGTATGGCCTTTACTCATTATACTCGATACGGTAACTAACTATAATTGCTGTCTACCAAACAGCATAAGAGATGATTAATTGCTCCAATTTATGTGGTCTCAATTAAATCAAACATTATAAACGAACGCTTATAAACAAATGCATATTGTGATTATACGGCCAACGGATTTATTTTACGAGTATAGTTTGTTTTACTATAAGGAAATTAAACCATATGCTTCACCTTACTAACTTGTTTTTCTAGAGCTGATAGTGATGTTTACTTCTGGGCCCGAGATATTGTAGCGCTGCGTTTATTGGTTGCTGTTTAGTTTGGCAAGATGAACATTTCTAATAGCATTAGAAGCTTGAAAAGTGGATTGCTGTAACGTTTTCGCGGATGTGACATGACACATACACCATTAAATCTGTGACGGGCTATGAGGCTTAGGACAGAAAAACATACCCAATATAGCGTATATAATGTATAATGGAACAAGTAATAGGTTTATTCCATGCTGAAAAAAGAAGAAAGAAAACACAACGTTTACATTACTTGTTCCTTTGCAGCCTACGCATGCTGACGCAGCTACCCACCTGAACTATCATGTGTAATGTGCTATTTCAGTTTTTCAGATTGTTTTACAGAACCCTCCAGCGGTTGGCAAAATGAAAACCTAGTATGACAACACTAAAACATGCTCTATAAAATAGTCTACACATTTTCAGTAAAATAACACAGCTAAATTCTCATTTGTTTCAGTACCGTATAGCAATATGCGTTTCGAGTCTTTCCCCTAGATATTTTTAATCACGATTCATAGTCTAACCACGATCTTTAACTTGCTTTAATTATCTTAAGAACACTGTGGACAATCTAGTTTTCCCTCCTTTAATTTACTTTCCCGCTTCTCCACGCTGTGGTTCATGCGCTGCTGTTATTTCATTAAGTAATTCAGATAATGTCACATTTACAACAAGTACTACAGGACAGAAAAGGGGATATTGAGTCATACGACATTTATACATGTATGTCCTTACATATACAGTATACACAATGCAAATTCACAAGATAGCGTCTCTATCCTGTAGTTCCTGGATCATCTCTTCGCGCACGTTAAAAGGAGACCGTTTAAAAATATTACGTTGTACAAAATGTGTACAGTAAAAAAAAAACTCTAAAGTTTAAATTGGGGAAAAAAGTGAAATATCAGTCTCAAATATGTAGTAATAAAACTATTTTCAGTTTTAACACGCCCGTCAAATGGACGCTGTCCAGGGTGCTGAAACTCGCCGCTGTCCATTAACTCCTAGGTGCTGAGGCGAAGACGAAGCGCTGTCTATAAACCGCGTCTCATCTTTGCCTAGTGACTCACTTATCATAATTAATATAATATCCAATGAATACAAGAAGGGGAGTATTACTAATTTTCCTGCACATATTAAAGCCACTAACACTTATCAGCGGGAGTCTGCGTAACACTAACAATCATTCACTTTCAGAGCATTTCTGGCGCTGACGACCAGAGATTTAAACGGGAGCCACCGCACTGACGTTAACTTTCTGCCTGGTTGGGCATTTCAGTGCATTTAAAGTTTTTCCCACGCTTTTAAATTTCAGCGTGTAGAGGAGTGGATTTCCAATCGAATTGACCGCAAACATGATGCTGGTCATGTTCCGGAAGACAAAAATCCCCGTAGTGAGCTGTTGCGGGCAGAGAGGTTTGGAGGCGTCCCACAGTACTCCGGCAAAAAAGGGCAAATAGGATGCCATCGCCAAAAACCAGATAAATACGCTCGTCCTCGTCACCCGCGCTTCTGCTTGTCTGTAGGTGTTCACGACTGAAGCCCCGAAAGCGGCGACTGCCGTTTTGTGTTTTCTGAGCTTCACGATGATGGTCACGTAGGTGCCGAAAAGAATCGTGAAGGTTACCAGGCAGTTTGGGATAGTGACGAAGATCAGGTAGTCCATGCACAAGGGGCTGTACAGGTTGGAGGTCTCGCCGGTGTGCAGGCAGTTCCAGCCCGCGACCGGCAGGCAGCCCAGGAGCATGGCAAGTCCCCAGTTGACGGAGACCGCAGCCAGGCTCTGCCACTCGGAGACAGTGTGCCTGGCCCGCAGGCAGGCAGCCACAGAGAGGCACCTCTCGATGCCGATGCTCATCAGGTTGTACAGGGCCGACAGCACGGCCACGGAGAAGGCCGAGTACACCTTGAGGAGCTCTTCAGTCCCGTAGACGGTGCTGTCCGGTTTCGCCATGAACAACAGCGTCACGTAAAACGACGAAAAAGTCGTTAGCAGGTCCGAGAAGCCTAAGCTGCAGAAGAGTATGAAAATGGGTCTGTGGTACTGCCTTTTGTACATTATCGTTATTATCGCGGCGGAGTTGAATAATAGCGATACCAAGTTAGCGAAGACCTGAACTGTTCCCAGGACGAGCACAGTCTTGGAATTCCATATTCCTGTCGCATTTAATTCAGAGGCTGAGCACTGTTCAAGAGCCCCCATCTCCATTAGAGTTAGGTATATTAACGCTTGTGAGAGGAACGTCCTCTCTGAGGCTTTATAGTCCTCTGAACAGTGTTTGCGAACATGCCATGTAGCAGCGAAGGTCAATAAAAATCGTTTTAGCAGCAACGGGTTGTGGCGTTTAAACATTAATCATTTCTCCTCAGAGCAAGAGGAATGATCCCCAAACCATGCCAAAATCGTTTGCTGTGTCACTGAAGCAATATTGTATTTTCCATAGGGAGATATGAAGAATTATGGGAACTTCCATGCCCAGATTTAGTTGTTGTTTGGGGATTAGAAGACATCTGTCTCTCTCGCTGTCTGTCTGTATATCCTTCCATCCAGTTGTGCTCCATTATATAAGTTTAACATGTTTAATAACTCCGTTAAAGAAAGGAGGGACATGCACTTTATATTAAACACACTTGATATTCAAATAAACGTCACAAATGGCTTTAGATTTTGCTTCCTAAGGGCAAAATCATTTACTCTACATTTTTCTCATGTCTTATTTAATGTACTACAGTATACTGTAAATTGCGGTCATGTGCCAATAAATTCAGACAAGTTCCTCTGGCTTAAAGAACACAAATCCACATGTTAACAGAAGAGAAAAGTTTTACAGGCCAGTAGATGTCAGTGTTAACATATAACAACACTGTGGGTTAACAGCACTATAATAAATGCTGGCGCATTTTCAGAAATCCACAAGATGTCACTATTTAAAAAAAAAAGTAACCTGGACAATAATGGGCACGGTTATGTGTAGATGCAGAAATTCAGTATTGCTCTCTGACAGCTGCTCAGAGTGAGTTGCCTCATGCTGTGTGTTATTGTGTGTCAGAGAGCAAGAATTTCCTTTGGATTTGGACAGATAAAGAACAGGTTCAGAGATACAAGAGGAGACCCTGGGGCTCTGTTACCATTAAGCCAAGCCTAATATCCTTTTCCCACAACCTCCAGTTTTTTGTAGCTATATCATATAAACTTTGTTTATTTATAAAATATTGATGTAATCTAAGACACTCTATATAGTAAATGTCCTCTTTTGACTTTTGTATCAAAAGCCTATGTCTATGTATCTGGATATAGAAGTTTTAAAAGCAGGATATCGCAGCTCACAGCCTGAGTCTTCAATTTTCATATTTATTTAATTAAAACTATGTGTAACATTTATATTAGATCTTCATACTGAGTACCACCCAACTAGAAGACTAAGTGTTGCTTCTTAAGCAATTTGGTTTATAGCATTTGTTTGTCTCTGATTTCCATTTCAGTTTGTACAAACTGTTCTTACAAAAACGTCAAACTATAAAATTCCCTCTGAGGTAGGGTCATATAAAGTTGAAACTGAATCAAAGTCGTCATGAATTTGGTGTGATAATCAACATACCATGTAAAGATTTATAAAACAGGAAGAGTGGGATGTGTGAAAATTGTAAAGACCAATAACAGTCATTGGAGATAAGCAGCTGGCAGGTTGATGTTCAAAGCTTTTTACTCTTGTGTGAAATTCACTTTTCCTCATTCCAAAACAGCACCTACTCTCCCTGCTTCCTCATCTGATCTGAAGTGGTGAAACAGCAGTTCCCCCTGAATCCACTTTCACAGCTCCATGTTGTTATAACGTACTCTAGTAGTGGAGCACTTCAAAGTGTAGGAAAGCCTCTGTAAGGAATGAAATACAGATATTACCCATTCTGCCTCCGTGAAGCACATTTTGCAGTGCAGCGACAGAAGAACTTCTTAGCAGCTGACAAACATTTGCTACTCATTTAGAGACAAGTTGTAACCCTATGCTGTAGTCTCCCCTGGTGCATTCTGTATCTGGATTCATTTTGTCCTCTTTATTCCACTCCATGGGCTGCCTCTCTCGTTCCTTAGTACCAGTTATAGCATGGCGTTTTTAACCTTGGGCGGCTCCATGTGGCTAGAGCCAGTTTTATCTTTGAATTTTTCTTTTTTTTAAAAAAACAGTCTGCAGACATACCTTAGTTCGTTAGTAACAGCACTGATCACCCATTAACATCTATTGTGCTCCATCAAACAGCACATAATAGCACAAATGTTGCATATTTCTCATGCATATCACATCTTGACCCATTGTTAGTGCGCCATTTATAAATATGCTCTAACTATACACTGTTAAGAATGTATTCAGATTAAATGTTTTACATTATATATTTACACTTTCTAAGGGATGCATATGAAAAAAATAAATAATTGCTTGCTTTTGAATAGTACCTTTCCTTAGGATACACATAGGAAGAAATCTGCTTCATCCATGACAGAAGTGCAGCACTGCCTTGGCTGAAACACTGTAGTCCTTATGCACCAAGTCAGATGTTTGGTAGAACTAAACACCAGTTTAGTTGAGGGGAAAATATTGCAAAGACTGGTTGTGAAAGGCCAGTGTGGATTCTAGGCAGAACACTCAAACTTTCCTACCATTATGAAAAATGCTACGGGATCTTTAATGATCTTTTCAGGGAAGAGCTCACTTTAAGAACTCATCTCCTAGAGCACAGTGTTCCCTTTCACCATGCTGCTACAACGATTTTGGACGTTCTGGTCCAGAGGAAATATTTATACCTGCTGGGCCACCGACACCACATCCAGAACTAAGCTGGCTTTCCTTGAGAGGTTTCCCATCACAGTCCTGACTAGGAGCAGCCTTGCCTAGCTTCTCAGATTAGGCTGCAAGGTGATAATGCTGCTGTCAATTACTACATGATGAAGAAAATAGAAGTTACTCATTTCTGACAGTGATTCGTCTAACCCTCTTGGGACATGCTTAATTGGTCCATGTAATTCTAGTCACAGCTCCTTGGATCTTTGCTGCTGGGCTTGGTGACCCTGAATTAGAAAAGGTGAAAAGCCATTCTGTTCCCTGTAAATTGTCTCACTCATTCCATTTTAAATTAGCTTAGTTTTTTTTTACTGGAATGGCTGGCTCTCCCTCTCTTTAGTTTTTGCCCACAAGATTGTCTTCTCTTCTCTACACTTTTTAAAAGTTGATATGGTAGCACAGCCAAGAGCCCCTGCATTTTGCAGACTTTTTAAACATACATTCTGGTTGCTGTAAAAAAAAAATAAGGCCAATTCTTATTTCACAATGTGTGTGAAAACCAAAACAAGGAGCTATATGATCTGGGTGCCAGTCTTTGATAATATTACTCCTGGGTGTGCATTCACACAGAACAACAATGTGCAATGAGATGAATTCTCACCAGTTAAAAAGAAGTCTGTAAGCGATCTGTAAATCAAGAACTGTGCACCAGTTTTTGTGTGAGGCAAACTCCTGAAGTTAGCAGGTAGTTTGTTTTCCTCTTTAAGAAGCATTGCTGCAAGCTTTTTCGGGCAGCCAGTGGCCTGTGAGTGCTTTTAAGAGTCAGTCTGATATCGTGCTCTCAGACACCATTAATGAATTAATTAAAGCTTCTGGGGCAGGTAATGGTGGAGGGTCATGCTATTCCTGTCTTTCGTTTCCAGAGAATTTAGGTTTCAGTGCAGCTTAAAGTAAATGAGGCTGCCCATTATGTTGCCACAATGAGCATTAATCACATTTTGGCACTCAGGAGTTTCGGAGTTTAGCACAATAGGTGCTACCCTCTGGAATAGAGTCCAAAGAAAAGATAGAAAAAAGGAGAAAAGACACAGTGCCACCCTCCTCAATGTAAAGCTGTTCTCAGGGGATTCCAGCATTGTTCTTTGGGCGACACAAGGAGGACAGCCAGACGTGTTCCTGTTGGACCGAAACTGAACTCACACGGACAAAACTGTGAAGCTGCTGTTTCAATTCAGGGCCCAAATCAAAGCAGAGATGTTCTTCAGCACCTTGTTTTAAAGCTGAAATGCAAAGCTGGCATTGAGGACGCCCCTTCTTTACAAACTGTGGCCAGAACTGCAGGAGGCCTTTGTGAAAGAAAATGGTAAGAAAATAAATTACTATGACTGATATATAACAATATATATAACTACATTCCCACACCAAACTATTTATAACTTAAGTAACTGAATTTAAGTACAAAGGGAACAGTCAAAGATGACTGACATACAGATGGGTATCTTTGTTGCTATCTTATCTGTGTTAGATAACTGCATCTTATTATATCGTGTTATATTACCTTGGCTAGCTTTTAAATATAACTGTATCTATATATAGATCTTATCACTGCCTTAAAATATTACCGGTCCATAAAAGAAAGACCAAACAAAATAGAGAAACTTTTCGTTCATGTTCTTATCGATGTGAGCATTAAGGGGGAGGGGCGATGGGCTCTTTATTAGCAGGTCTTTCGGTGATATAAACCTCTCGGGGTGAGAATGTAGTCACACTCAGAAACAAGTCGAGCACTCGTGGTACCGCCGAGGACACGACATGCGTCCGCTTCTGTTCTCAGCTTTCCTGCTCTCCTCGTTACTCATCAGCCCCAGCTCAGGTAAGGCAACCCGGAATAGCTGTGTTTATGTGCGGGGTCCCTTCGTAGTCTCCCCTTTTTAAGGCTAAAAAGACACTTTATTCCCTGAGCCCGTCTGGGGAAGATGTTTGCAGTCATGTTTCAATCAACAAAGTAAAGGGAATTTATTTGCGGGAGGTACTGTATACGGGTGGAAGATTTTGATGCGTTGAATCAAAATGCAATTAGATATTATTTGTGAAACTGGAAAAACCCCTTGATGTTGATGTTTTTCTTTTCCAATATTATAAGTTGTTACTGTTTTGCTTTTTAAAGAAATTCTAGAATACCTTGTTGAATTGGTTTAAACTGGGCACCTCAGTAAGTGGATTATATCTGCATTTGGTCATTTGTTGCAAGTGTTCATTTGTTCTGTTAATGAACATTTTAAATGCACTTATTTTTAGTATTTAAGACAATTTTATTGCTATATTATTATACAGCACTGTTATTAATCATTAAAATGGTGTTAGCTTAGAAGGTGACCTTAGCTTTACTTGCATTTTTACTTTGATCTTTTTATCGACATTGTGTATCGTCTTGGCTAATGTAATATAGCTTGTAACAGTAAAAAGTTATTACTGGCTATATATATATATTATTACTGGGTTAGGAGAGAAGAAGCTTTATGAATAATAGTTGTTATTATTATCTCCGCAGCTAATTTAAATGAAGGTATTATACGTTGTTCGCGTAGTGCACAACTGGAGGTTTCAAAACGTTTTTTTAAAAAGCACCCGCAAAAAAATAAACTGAAGCGCGCGTGTATGTGAGTTTTGCCACGTGACAAATTTCGAGGCGTTTTAACCCCAGCCCTAACCCAACTTCAAAAGGTGGCATTAGGCTGTAGTTTTGGAGGGTGTTAATATACTTGTGAAAAATAAAACAAAATAGAATTTGCTGTGAGTTCACCGCCCCCGAATTGCATAAGAATGTTAGCCGGGCTATTTAAAATTGATTGATTCTTGTCGTTCAATACAAATTCCTCGGCTTTATTCTGGGGCACGGGTTCACGGCACGGACAGCCGCCTGCTGCAGCCTGCACTGTCCCGTGGGTGTGGTGTAAGAGAGCCGGGGGACCTCGTGGGCACATGACCGCTGTCGAGACACTGGACACTGGACAGCGTGGATTAATAAGGAGTATTTTTTTTCTTTCTAAAGAAAAAGCCCGAAAGACAAAAGGTTCCTGCGTGTCCCACAAACGCACTAACAGAACGATGAGATAGTTTGAGATAATCAATGAGTCGCTGTTTTCGGGTCGAGCTTTATTTTACAAAGAAATACAGCACTGATATACTTGTAGGATTGTGGGAATTTATGAACTTAGAAGCCATTTGACCATTACACCCCCTTCGGTTGCTAAAAGCGAACCAATCCGGGATTCTCGATTCTGGTAAGCCCAGACTTCCCACAACTCTGTAAAGAATTGTCTCCTGTCCCGAGGGCTAAATGCACTTCCCTGTCGTTTCCAGTTCTGTTGATGTATCGCTATTTGTTCTGGAGAGCTTTAATGTTTTAACATTGATGGTGCCCTTGAGGAGTTTGCATAGATGAATCGGGTCCCCTCGTAGTCTTCCCTGTTCAAGACTAATGATCCTTCAGATATGTCAATACCCCGGTTCACATTGCTCGATCCACGCTTGAGTGAAAAGTTCCATCACAGCTTTGATATGACTTGGTGATCAGAACCCCTTATTCCTAGACAAACACTGCTTCTAGGCTGTCCTTTACCAACCTCTGCGTGAATTCTTCTCGGTAAACTCATTGCCCAAAATTGAATTCAGGCACATCGGAGAATTCAAAGTGGAGTGTCACCAAACAGAAATCTTGCTCTTGTTTTACCATATCAATGTCAGGTTGCATATTAAACAGGCTGACTTTCTAACATTTGTACCTTACAGCCCGTATCTTCACGGTTGTGTTCGTCAATCTCTCTTTCTCAATATTGTCCTTATACTGAATTTGCGCCTGGGTTGTGTAGTCGAGTGCGTCATTACCACAATGCAACTGTGCTTTTTAAATTATACATTCGATCCTACGTCTCCCTAATTCAGTTTTTTAACTCAAAGGGAAACAGGAATGTTGTATGTCAGCGTATGTATAGCCACATAAACACTTTAAAAGAGCTGGCAAACTTAGCTCCACGATTCCAATGTTCAGATTTCTTTTTCGTTGAAACAAAAGATATTGATCAGGAAGTCACGCTAATAAATCCACCCCACCATTTCCAAACCAAATAAAACGGGGATAGGGAAGGAGTAGGCTTCCGATTTGTACAGAAAACGCATTAGTGCTTTTCAAAATTTAACTGGACTTTTTCTAAAGGTAAATATGTTCTTATTACGCGTGATTGACGCTCTGAGAAACTCAGATCCTGTCTTTTTGGTGGAACGCTATTGATCGTCCGCAGCCAATCGAGATTCCAACAGGTTTTTAACCTTTTTGCTGTTCGCCTCCCGCTTTTCTGTGCATGCTGAGCTCGCTAGCGGTCTGGAGGACAAACAGAGTGACGGTATCCAGCGGTCTTTCTCCTTTCCTCAGCCGATTTAAGAAAATATCTGACCATTTTTTAATGGTAATTTTGCGTCTACCTTGATAAATTCGCGGAGGCACCTAATCGTCTCTTTAGCATCATTGTCGTCATCATCAAAGGGTTTTAGTGGCCCGACCGATGAATTACCGCGTCGCCGAACCATTGTCCTCCGGCCAGTGGTCTTTCGGATGTTTGCCGCTGTGATGAGCTTCATTGTTCGCAGCCAAGATTAACTCGACAAAGGAAACGGGTCACTGATGATCAAACAGCAGCCTCAAGAGAAGCATTCCTGAAACCCCCCAAGGCCTGGAGGCGGGCAGTTGTGCGAATAAACACACTTGTTATTTACAGTTGCACTTGTCTGGGGGATGAAAATAAAGTCCTCCCCGATTAAAAAAAAAAAATGATCCTGGCGTCTGTAGCCCTGATGGCCGTAGTAGAAAGTGTTAACGTACTGGGAGTTTAAAATGAAAGCTGTTTAATAACTGTTACTAAGTCTATTAAATAGCAACACCGGAGCATTCAAAATAAAATTAACTACTATGACTCCTAGCTACTAGGAGCCGAGCATGTTGGCTTAAAATTGCGCATAAAAACTACCGGCTGCAAGGTAATCCTGCAAAATACATAAATAAATATGGAAAGTAATATGCTATCGACTATAGCTTATGTGCGGCTTGGCGTCTGAGACCGTTTATTAATCGTTGCCGTAAAATAAAATCAGAAAATGAAGCAACCCGGTGGTGATAAACTCCGCGCACACGCTTAGCCACGCTTGCATCGGCCAAACGGTGGGAGTAAACGGCGCGGAACAGCTCAGGAATTGCAGCTAAGATCGAAATGACAATATTTAAGGAACAATATTCGTCGGGAATCCCCTCAGCCGGACACTAAATTAATAAAGTTTAGTTTGGTCAATAATCAAGAAAAGGTTCGATTTCTGTGGGTTTCCATGCGTCACAGAATTCGAAGTAGCAGACAGGTTGAGAACCGAGCTTTTGGTGCTGTCACGCCGTGTTGTCTGCAGGGCACAGCTGGTTTCGAGGACGGTGAGCAGCATCAGGCATCACCGCCGGAATGCTCTCTCTGCACTCCTTTCAATCGCTTTGGTTGTAAAAGCGTCAGGCACATAAGGAGTGAATGTACTGATCTGTTAAGCATCAATTCAAACTATTTTTTTCCCCAGTCGTGCTATACTGGGGTTATATCATAAAGCTGCAAATAAATCCGGGATATGCAGTTTTTTATGATTTACAACACCAATAGAAATGAACATTTAAATCTGCCATTCGTTATTTATTTGCTGAGCCCCTGCACTTTAACGGTGGCATACCAGAACAGCAATCCCGCATCGCAAGGATTTACAGTTTCAAACTGACAGTGGCTGCTTCCTGTTTTACAATCAGGTTCTATGTGCGAGAGACTGGTAGCTGAAAACCTCTTACACTTGAGATGGGACCAAGAGTTATCCCTCGTTTGTTAATTTAAAAAGTTATCGCATTTAAGTACGGTAATTATACGTGTTTATTATATTTTGTTACAGACAAGAACTGTCTTGTGGTTGCTCCTAGCGATATTGTCTGTAATTAAAGATATACAGTACGTTACAGGCAGCTATTCTGAAGGGCAAAAACAGAAAAGACACTTTTTTGCTTAGCTATGTTCCCTTTAGCAGTCTATCCATTTAGAATCCAATGCTGTGTTTACTTGCTGTTGCCGTTAAAAACAAGACCGATGTCTTTAATAAACTGGTTACTCTGCAGGTTTTTAAAATATTTATGAAATACTTACCCAAGTCCGGAGCCAGCAATGTCAGAAGTTCAGCAATTTCATCAACAGGCAATCATGAATTATGAAACGCTGGCACATTCTACGTCACCCCAAGAAGTAACAGTTCACTCCCTGAATCTTATTGAGACTTGGAAGTGTTAACCTGGTGGTGCAGTGGCCGGCACTGCTGTCTCACAGTGGTGGGGTCCCGGGTTCAATTTCAGACCCTGGGTGCCATCGGTGTGGAGTCTGTATGTTCTTCCTGTGTTTGTGCGGGTTTTCTCTGGGCCCTCTGGTTCCCTCCCACAGTCAAATGACCTACTGGGATGTTAATTGGTCCCTGTGTGAGTGTTTGTGTGTTCCTCCCCTGTGAAGGACTGGTATCCTGTCCGAGCTGTACCTTCCTTGCACCAGTTGCATGCTGGGATTGACTCAGGCTCTCCCAGGCCCCTGAGTTGGAAAAAGTGGATAGAAAATGGGTGGATGTTAATATGATAAGAGTCCGTTATGAATACAAGTATTTAGTAGAATGCAAATGATTGGTGTTTTGTTTCACTAATAAGGTGTATTTCAGTAATGTTGACTAATGCCTAACAACAGCTAACATGGCTGTGTGATCAGAGCCTCAGTGGTGTTGTAGCTTTTTTTGTAAAATAGTTTTGTTTTCTACAAAAAGTATTTACTTGTTGTACAGTCTATAACAATGCTTGAATATTGATGTATTACCTGTCGCTAAATCATCAGCAGTGCCCAGTTAGTCTCTGCCTTTGGTACTGTTGAAATAACACATTCCATGTTTCACAGGTCAAAAGCATGTCTGTTGTGCAGGGACGTCTGAAGAAATATCCTTTGTGTTTCAGGTAAATGGTGCTATGAGTCCCAGGATCCATGTAGAAACAATTGCACAGGTAAGCTATATTTGTAACTTTTTTATTTGCAGAATTGCACCTGTAGTTTAATAATTTATCTACATTACAGATGCTAATATGTATTCATAATAGTGGCTAATATGAATATGTAATTCAGTACATATCATGGTAATAAATATTCATTAGTTGTTGCCAGTGCTGAGGGGTGCAAAATCGTCTAATTTGACTTTTTGCATTAATTGATATCTATACATCAAACAGAATTATATATATATATGCCCATATTAATTAGCACAGCTAGCTATGTTATGCTTGTAAGGGTGGAACAGCTGTCTTTGGCTTTTTGAGTAAAGAAGTCAAAATGGCTCAATCAGTAGTGCTGCTAGAAGAATCTGCAACTCTGCATTGTTGAAATAGAAAGAGCAAATACTCGTTATTTCAGGATCTGACTGGCAGTTAAGTAATTTTACACGCATAGAAGGAAGATACCCCTGGCATGGATAAGCACCATGTATTTTATAGCAGTGACATGGTACAATTACAAAGGCAGGTTAGTCTCAAAATCAGACTTTAGGTGCTTTTGCAAAATGAAGAGTTCATAAAACAGCCTTTTATCTCCATTTTCACAACTCTGAGAATTTATCTACGAGACTGATAGGTATTTCTATCACTGTAAAGTGGCCAGCAGCCAAGTTATTACTGTATATACTGCAGTACTTACTACTTTACACAAGAGGATGACTAAAAATCATCACACACTCATTAAAGTTTCAAAGGAAAATTCAGGAATAAATGCATTCAGGATTACTATTCTGTTCCCTTCATTTATTTTACACAAAAGCGGCTATAGGTCCTATATGAAAATTGTAACACGTGATAATCGTAGCGTGGCAAAAATAAAATCTTACAGATTCGGTACTACTATACCATCAGATGTGTTTCTTTCTTCTTTGTGTAGGACCAAAAATATGGCATCAGATTGAAGAACATAGTGAATGTGCAATGAAGAGACAGTCTCCTATAAACATCGTGACTAACCAAGCCAAACCCAGCTCAAACCTCAAAACCTTTGATTTTGAGGATTATGATGAAACTTTTAACACATTTATTAGAAATAATGGCCATTCAGGTAAGATTTTGTTTTTGTTTTTTCAATTGAGCTGCAAAATTAAAATAAACCATTGCATACTTTCACTGCACGGTGGTACAGTCTCACAATACTGGGACCCTGGGTTCAGCTCTAGACCTGAGGACCTGCGGTACCTGAGTGGAGTTTGCGTGTTCTCCCTGTGTTCACATGGGTTTTCCCCAGGTGCTCTGGTTTCCTCCCACAGGCCAAAGACATACTTGCAAGTTAACTGGCTTCTGGGAAAATCGGCCCTGGTGTGAGTGTCTGCGTGTTTGTTTGCCCTGCATTGGACTGGCCTCCCATCCAGGGACTATCTGTGTTATTCTAGTGAAGCATACAAAGGGCTGAAGGAAAACCACATAATCCATTTTTTGAGTAGCTAGTATGATAAATACCATATCTGCAGTGCAGGCTAAACACTTGCGATTACCTGGTTAAAATCCAGAGGGTGCCACTACTATATGAAGATATAAAGGGTTAAGGTCACTCAGAGTCTTTTTAGTTTTTTCTGTAAATACCACGATAACTTAAAGATTTTTCTTTCTAGTTAAGGTGAATCTATCCTCCACCATAACGATCAGCAGTGGCAATCTGACAGGGCGCTACAGAGCAGTAGAGTTCCACCTGCACTGGGGCTCTGACACCTCCCCTGGATCAGAGCACACGATCGACGGCGAGCAGTATCCCATGGAGGTAAATCCAGACCCAGGTGGCCTCTGTTCAGCTCACAGAGGAGCACAGCGCAGAGACATAGGTGTTCAATTTCCGCAGAAGATAAATCTTTACACTAAATGGCATGAGAGAGGAGACCCGTTTCATTTTTATTACAGTTGCACACATTGCATGAAATAGGTGTATGTTGCAGCTCTGTGATGGTGTAGACAGTTAATCTTGGCACATGCAGCCGATTCAAAATTGGGCTTCTCAATTCTTCACAGTAAGTGTAAATGCAACATGCAGTATAGGGGTCAGTAATAAGGTTCCAATCTCCCAGCAGTTACATGCACACAATTAAGGCTTCTACTAACATTTGTTTCAGTGCCAAACAATGTCTACTGTAGGTAATATATGTTTTTGGTATGTTGACTCGTATCTCTTTTTTTTTTTAAAGCTGCACATTGTTCACATTAAAGAAACTTACAAGAATGTACATGAAGCCATGAAAGATAAGTCTGGCATTGCAGTTCTGGGATTCTTTTATGAGGTAAAAATGGTAACTGTTTAAACTCTTGCAAAAGTAGTTTCTCATTGGAATGTTTTCAGTACTGTAAATTGTTAGCATTTATACACAATAAATTTTGCTCTGTTGTGTTCTGTATTTCTTAATGATGCTGTTGGATTGAAAATTGTTCACTGCATATGGCTCAGTCTCATAATGACCTGATAAAGTATATTTGTTCTTTTTTAATAAAAAAATGCTTCCATTCAAAGGATCAGTTTTGTGGAAATCGTAATATTATTATTGCAATGCTAATTTAGAGATTATATCATTCACATTAAAGATATGAGCAGGGCAGATACAAACAACAACTCAGAATTAGTAGTGAACTTTTAGTGGAATATATAAATGCAATTGGAAGAGTTTCCAAAGTCTAAACCACCACCATCAATCTCGTGAATTTGGTGGGTAAGGAATATAACAGGATATTGTTGTCCACTGAACCCCAGTCCATATTTTTATCAGACCCATGATCAAAACTTCCAAAGCTCCTGTCCTCCTACAGTATTACTTGGAAGTAAAAACTAGACAAACAGCAAGGAAACTAAGGTCTAAAACCCCTTATTTGAGTTGCGTCTTTCTTACAATTTTAGGAATCCAGCACTGAGAATCCAAACTACAACCTGATCACTGAAGCCTTATCAAAAATCAACAAATCTGGTATGAAATGAAATTATACAGTAGCTTGTTTTGTTTTTACAGAAACAATTCATTTTAGGAATCATGGTGACAAATGTCTTTTTGCCCTTCATTTGTCTCTTGCTGATACTTAGAGTTACTATCTTAAAGTGCTTAAAAGTGTCACTATTGACTCATTATGTTTCTACTCAAATCACAATAGGTTGTTGATTTTGCATGGGATGAATCCGAGTGTCAGTCATAGTAATATGAAAGAAAATAATCTATTTGCCAGTATATGCCAGTCATCAATGCCATCATCCTGCTCATTGTGATTCTAGGAGAGAGCGTCGCATTGCATGGGTTGACACTGGACAAACTCATCCCAGCAAAAGAGAACAGGACAAAATACTACCGCTATGAGGGCTCGCTCACCACTCCTTCCTGCGCTGAAGCTGTTGTGTGGACTGTGTTTGAAAATCGAATTCCACTCAGCAAACGGCAGGTAGGAATTTATTTTAGGATGCATATCGACCAGGTCTCTATTGTGGTTTCATTACGCTTTGTATCGATTTCTGAGCAGAATTGCCCATTAAAACACCTGTATTCTCCATGAATCACTACCATTAAAGTAATTGCAGCTTGGTTCAGCTTCATGTCTTCAAAGGGCATTCGAAGTTCTGCCTTCCTGATGACATGCTATTTGATGGAAATAATTCACTCCACGTTTTAACCCAACGTCTTTAGTATTACTTGAATATAAGTAAAGGGTTATTGGACATATAGCTCAAGTTTCAGTGTAAAATGAAATTAAACAGTCACGTGTTTTCCCTGATATCTGTTAAATAAACAAATTCACAATGTCCACTTTTTCAGCTGGTCCTCACTCACTTTCTTATTTACTGAAAGAAGTAAGACCCACGCAGCTGCTTTGTAAATGTTTTTTCCTGTAAATATTTTATTTAGTAAAGTTCTACATGGTCCATACACCTCACAGTACATTTTGCCCGAGGAACTAATTTTGTTTTCTTGATTTCTCTTTTTTCAGTTGTCAGCTTTTCACAATATTTCATTCAGCGATGGGAGGCCTATGACTGAAAATTTCAGGCCTGTTCAGCCCAGGAATGGTCGGGTGGTCTATGTATCTGGAAGCAGCATTATTTTTGGCAGCGCTGTGCTTCTGTTCACCTCGGTACTCACCTCAGTTGGGACATCCTGGCTCCACTGAAATTACTGCTGTGTCGCCATTTACAGAAATGGTCTCATCCAAAACTTGTTCAAGTTTACACGTTTACTGTTCACCCTGTCCTAAAGCACCTCAGCCATGTCCAGAGTGATTCACAGATGTTTGGACAATGAAAGAGCCATCCATATTAACATCCTTCTGCACAACTTCACCATGTCATGTGACCTCAATACTGGCTTGGCCGAGCCCTTTTCTATAGAGGATCAATGTCATGCTGCAGGTACCCCATGCTTTTGCAAACGAGACTACAGCAGATTGAATTAAGAGTAGAAATGGATCGATGCCAACTTTAGGAACTTGGATACGTTTCTTTCCTTCCTGCATTTGGAGTGAAACCCACACATTTTTTTTGTTTTCTGAGGGACAATGGCAAGTAATGGACCCTGTGCAGCATCTGGGCCAATTCTTAAAGGCGTGCCTGTTATTTTATGACAGAAAAGTTTTGTTACATTTGACAGCAAAGCAAAACTTATTTATTACATGGAAGGTAACTCAAGTTCAGGAGGGAAGACAGTAACAAGGCAATCTCTAGCCTGCTGTTCCTAATCATAATCACTACTGAAATTAGATATACAGTACACACCCAACACAAACACCTCCTTTTGCGTTTGTCTCATGCATTGCTCCTCCACTCCATCTCCACCTGACTACACCCCCCCGGGTTGAACCCCCCTCTCTGAATGGGGCTTGGGTCTCCTTGCCCTTAACCAAGGGAGTTAAGCCAAAACCATCCAACCTAAAATACTCAGACATTCACAAAATATTGTCTTTGATTCTTGGATCTTGTTGTCCCTTGTGAACTTTTCTTAAAGGTGTCACCCTACTGATGAGCAGTGAAATAAGAATGAAGAATGTTTCAGTACTGTTTAGCTTTGTGTCTATATCTACCAAGTAGATGGGCAATGTTAGTTGAATCAGTCAAGGTGTATGATGTATTACAAATGCATTCTGAACCGATGAAGTGTACAGTGTTTCATTCAATTTCCATTAGTCTTCTATTATGATTAATCGTGCATTGATAAAGAAGAGCAAGCTATGATCCTCAAAAACAAATACTCGAATTAAGATGTGTCTCGCATGTTTGCACTGTCTTAAGTTAAATTATTTATATTTTATCCTGTATTGCAATATTCGAAAATCTATATGTAAATGGATGTGGGCAAATAACATACAGTATGTTGTATAATTAACAACATTGACATATTTAGACAATGTCTGCCTGGATTTTCCTCCCCCTTAAACATTTGTTATATCTCTGCAGCAGAACATAGCAGGGGCCTGGTTCAGGTCTTAAATTGAAGCTAAACTATTTTATTAAGAATAATCATATCATTTTCAAAGGTGAATAAAACCAACCATATCAATTATCAAGAATGTTTATGATGAATGTTTTTGTAGTGAAATTATAATATAATTCATTTTACAATATGTCTACAATGCTGGAATTAGAATATCATATACACTGTTACTGATGGTCTTGCTACTGTAATAAAATTGATAAGGAGAATGTTTTGCCTTTTAAAATTCAAGAATAAAAAATCATAGTACTTTTTTTTATTTTGCACGGTCACTGCCTTGTTAGTGTCTTTTTGGGAGTTTGTCTTGTTTCAGATTTTGAGAAAAGTAAATTTCGTTTATGTTATGCCAATATAATTTTGCAAATGCAGATACACCTTCTATTAAAGAGATTTACCCAATGATAACAGTCTTCAAAAAGGTAAAAAGTACTTTCTGGTTGCTCACCTTACCACTTGATTTGGAAGGAGGGATTAAATAAGAGTCTGTCACAAAGCTCGGAAGGACAATTGCTACAGAAATCGAACCTTAATCCATTTCTAATTGACTTCCTTTGAAGAGGAAGGATTTTCTGAAAGAGTTGTGTTTAGAATTAGATATGCTTTCTCGTGTAGAACATACATCTGAAGCCCAGATCCCCCGGGGACCTCTCGAGCCGTAATATAAACGAAAGCCTCTTTGAGCTACAAATCGCAGAAGAGACGAGCGAGTGTGTGGGCGAATTTTAACAGTGTGACCAGTGTTACGGTGCATCGATTTTTCTCCGTTAAAATGATAGAGCGTTACCGCTCTTTTTTTTTTCGCTCGATAAAAAGAATTTATTAACAGGCTTTCTGTGGCACGTTGCCTTCTAATAATTAGTTCAGTTGTACGAAAGCTGGCTCCTTCAGAATTCGGTATCACCACTTTCTCCTCTCCCCCCACCCCGCTCTTCTGACACAGCTGCTAATGAGCCGGCAGGCATTTAAATACACAGGAGCTCAGCTGCCAATTATCCGAGAGTGAAATGACCAACAGCTGGCTGCTTCTTAAGTCGATACGCCGCCTGCCTGTCACGCACTGTGACGCTGAAGATGTTATTGAAAGGAAGCAGCAGGGCAACGCATCTGAAGCAAAGATGAAAGAACGCCGAAAGAAATAACAAGTGGTTTCAATTTTTCAAAAGCCCTGTCCGCATCTACCCTCAATAGCCCTCATCCAATCGTTCCTCAGCCCTTGGGGAACAATATCAGTCAGGTGATGATATGGTAGAGCTGACGATAGCTGGATCACGCAGCTCAACCCAAATTCGGATGATCTCCTTCGCTGCTGGAAGTCTCATTAGAAGGACAGCACCTTTTTACAGTACAGTGTCCCCATCACACTACTGGAGCATTAGGACCCACATAGACCACAGGGTGAGCGCCCCCTACTGGCCCCACTAACACCTCTTCCAGCAGCAATCTTAGCTATCCCAGGAGGTCTCCCATCCAGGTATTGGCCAGGCTCACACTGCTGAGTTTCAGGGGGTTGTCAGTTGTGAGTTGCAAGGTGATATGGCTGCTGGCGATGTTGAAATGAAATTAGTGGTTATGTGCAAAAACAGAGGGTATTGCGCAGTTATAGGATCTTTTGGTAACTGTAAGGGAAGATAACTCCCAGGTTCTGCTTGTGTGGAGTGGTGTGTAATGACTACGTGTGGGGTGATGTTTTTATGTAATGTTATATTTATATTCAATGTAATGTTTATTTGTACTGTTTGTATATTTTATTTTTGTTAGTCTGTGTGTGTGTGAAAACCACAGCTGCTAGGATACAAAACAAAGTTCTGAGAAATGAGACATTAAAGTATTGTTGTATCATATTGTAACAGCAAACTGTGTTGGGAATCAAAGCTATAGAGGAAAATTTAGCAAAACAAATGCTTGGTATCCGTACAGTGAATCTGTTAAAAATACATCATGCACACACCTGTCCCTCTGTTTGCAATTGCTTAAAAGTAACAAGGAATTACACTTGGGGCATTGCTGCCTCTCAGTACTGGGGTCTTGGGTTTAATTCTTGGGGTGCTGTCCGTGTGGATTTTGTGGGTTCTCTCCAGGTGCTTCAGGTTTCTTCTCATAATCTAAAGACGTGCTGGTGGGTTAACTGGCTTCTGGGAAAAGTGGCCACAGTGTGAGCATGTGTGTGTCTGTGTGTCCTGCGATGGACTGGTGTCCCATCCAGGGTGTACCCTGCCTTGTGCCTGTTGCTTGTCAGGATAGCCTCCAGCTCCCCTGTGACTCTGTTTTGGATCAAGTGGTTGGAAAATGGATGGATGGACTGGAATAGCAGGAATAGCACTTTGGTAACATGCCTGTCAACTCTTAAGATTTTGTTTTTACTTTCGAGATTTGCCTTTCATTTCTAAACTCCTTAAAGCAGAGGAACTATTATAAAAATCAAAACTCAATTACTACATTCATTCATCGTCTCCTCCCCTGGTTTATTGATAGTTTATATGCCAGTTAAATAGCAGGAACTATTACAGGTTTTGCTCTATAGTGAGGTGATTCCCATAACACAGACAAGGACAAAGTTCACTGTATGTACAAATCCATGCATGTTGCAGGGAAGTGCAGGCTCAGGGACTGGTACACTACAGTCCCTGATTTATTGTTTTTCTTGTATATAGTTAATTAAGCATAGTCAACACTCCATAAAAAAATCTACACGTGGGAATGTGAAACATCTACTAAAAACTAAAATGCCAACGGAGGGGCAATTAAGATAATTGATCTTGCTGACTGAGAGTAAAGGCCCTAATTTCCTTATTATGTTGAAAATAATGTATCCTTATACTGGAATACTACCTTGGTCTTTATCCAAGTCACTTAGCCAGAAGTCCAACTTGAAGTCATAAATTAATTGGTTGTTATAGTATTATTAGCAGAATTAGAAGAAGAAGCCCTGTGCTCCACTGAGAATTTTCTGGACAGAGGTCTTTAAAAAAACCCCAATCACTGCCCGTTTCCTGGATACTGCTGTTTACCCATCCCATTAAGGAAGGCCAGGGACAAAAGGTACTGTCCCATTACAGAAAGGATTAGTCAGGCTAAGCGGCGACTGTTTACAACTCGAACTGATAAAGCCATCTCACTTCCCAGACGCTGCGCTCGTTGTCGTGCGCTGCAGCGAAGCCGTGGGAAGGAGAATACAGACCGTAGCCGCGATGCTCGCTAGTTGACTGAACGCAAGTTAAATGCCAAATCTCACCAGTTCTAAGTCTGTAAGTCCTCTCCTGGCTGAAAGTGAAAATAGCAAGGGGCCTCTACTCTTCAAGATAGGTGATGAAAAATTCTAAATTCCTACAGTATAGGACTGAAAGTAAAAAAAAACGAACGAGGTAGTTTTGGGAATATCCAAAGCTACGCTTTACCTGTGGAGTGTCCAGAAAAGCGCAGTATAAGTGTAAGCAATTATTATTATTATTATTATTATTAATATAAAGAAGTTTGATATTATTAGAAAACAATTAGGCTTTTATTTCTGCTGTTCCCGTTAAGAACTATCTTTCCTTGATATTTTCACAATTCTGGACACCTTCTGTGAAGCCTTCTGTCTTTGCTAAATGCAATACTATACTGTTCTAAAAATCATTACAGCTAAATGCATTTAATATAACAATTATTTTATGGATCTGTTGTTTGAAAGTGCCAGGAAATCGTGCGTTAGTATAACTTATTCTGTTTTCTTCACCTTAAGATTACTTTGGTCATTGATTATCTTGCACAGAATTACAGGTCACACTAGGATATTGATTGCACATGGCTAAAGCCCTGGATCTTTCAACTTGTAGGATGTGAACTTATCATAGGGGTTTAAAGTCTTAAGGGACTTATCTTGTCACTATTTTCACTGGCCATAGATTAGCTGTAAAAACTAAGTGAAAATGCACTCACCTTCTTAATGAAACACATGTTATTTAGAACACATATATAGACAGAGGTCAAATATGTCTAAAGATGTTAAACCATAAAATTAGGAGTGTAGTTACCTTTTCATCAAACAGAACATATATATGTACATATATAGGTGTATGACTGTAACTCATAGAATTTACTTGTACAGATGTATGTAGATCCATCCATTTTCTAATGACTTTACCAGTACAGGATCATGAGTGGGCTGGAGCCTATCTCAGTAAGCAATGGGTCCAAGGCATGATACTCCATCACAGGGCACACACTCACTCACACCATGGCCAGTTTTCCCAGTAGCCAATCAACCTACCAGTATGTTTTTGGATGGGGGAGGAAACCCATATGAACATATTGAGAACATATAAGCTCCACACAGATAGCACCCCAGAAAGTGAAGACAGGGCCTTAACACTGCAAGACAGCATTGCTAACCACCTTGCTGTCCATATGTGTATATAGAGAGGGGGAAAACATATTCATAAAGAACGTAAAGAAATGTCCTGCTTGGTGGATGAGATTAGTTCTGCTTATCAGTAAATCACACAGTCAGGTAATTGGCCTGTTATTGACAGGTTTCCAGGATTTTTAGTTAAAATGTGCACACTACTGTAAAGGCTAATAAAAAAGCATTATGTCAGACAACAGTATCTGACAGCAAACATTTTATTATTGAGTAATGGCAAATTGCATTTGTTTTATGACATGATGAATGTCCTAATATAAGAGAACTGTGTGTTAACAGACGTTGCAATAAATCCAGTGCTTTATAATTTTTCTAGTCATCAAACCAGAGAGTCCCCTGTAGTTGTTCTCCTGATGTCACAAAATGAGATTTTGGATATTATGGATATGACTTTAATTGTGAAGTTGATGGTTACACCCTTAGAGCTATAGATCTCTGCAATAAGTTCTGTTTTTACATGCTGGTGTTTTACAGCTACACACCTCTCCATGTTAAAGAGAACCGCCTCCCAGCCCCATTTCTGTGATCAGGTCCTTGCTTTTTCATGACTTCGCTATCAAAATGGTCTCAGGCTTCAACAACACTATTTTGGTCACTCAACTGGTTTGCCATTGCAAGATCGAAGTGAGGATAATTGAATAGTTGATGCCAGTGGCCTCTGCAGGAGTAAGTTCTTTCAATTCCTCAGTTGTAGGTCTCCTCCTGTACTACTGCCTCGGCATTTGTATCAACGTCTAGCCGAACTGTGTCTTTAGTATAAGGTTCACAAGAGTTTTTTTGGGGAGCCTCAGTTACGTTCTCTTGAAACCTGATAGCGGTACAGTAAGAATGTAGTCTATAATGTGCTCGAAGTGCAAGGACTCCTGTTGAAAAGAACCTGCAGTCACATGACGCTTTACTCCGGCGGCAGAGAAGAACACCGTGTTCATCTCTTTTTCATAAGGGTGCTGACGCAGAGGTATTAGATATCCAATACCGTCTTCAGCACTACTTTGTTGCGTTACAAATTACATTTAAAGTTGCAGTTTCCACTGGTTTAGCCATGTGCCTCCGTTGGCATTATTATTTTGATTTGTTATTTTTTTATGACAGCGAGAGTCCATTTATCGCAATTAATTTGGCCAAAAATGAATGATATTGTTTTTTGTTATTACTTAGTGATTTTAAATTGTGGAAATCGGAGTCTTTGCTGTTTTAAAACATTACGTACGGTAATTTTACATTGGTCTCGCTGCATGTTCTTCCTCATTCTCTTTCATCTTTACGTGCAAAAGAAAATAATCTGTGTCCTCCACATTTGATACGTTTTAAAATCAACAAAACATTTTGGGGATATCACATTCCGGACAGAAGTGACAGAA